GAATTATGTCACAGATGTGACAGAGGTGTGCCACACCCAAGGATCAATTCTTACATCACTACTATGTTTATCTCTTGCTCACAAGCAATTCTGTACATGGTTATATATATAACCCAATCTATGTCGACAAAACCATGTTCATCCATAGAGACCTCCTGATTAAGATACATCTAACAGTATGCTAATTAGGGTTAACCAATATCAGGAAATTCCTGCTTGTAGTACATTTCACATTACACATCAACACAGATATGCATCATTTTCGCGCCTTTATTTATTGTGTTTTTCTGTCATTATAATGTCATTCCGTTCAAATGATGATTTTATGTACAACATGTGTACTTCTGGGTCACTGTTAACTATCTTAAGCGTCTCCGAGATTTAGTGATGTCATCAGAATATATCTGGTTGGTGATAATTCGTCGACATAGCGTAGCTAACTTGAAATGGTTCTTCACGGGTCCGAGACTAATGAGCAAAGGATATTTTAAGTACAAACAGAGTAATTTCAATAATAAAAGCGAGGGAAGCGAGCGCTTTACGGTATTGTATGTGATCATTCAAATCCAACAAGCCTATGCTGCTCATACGATCAACTTTAAACGGAAGTGTGGCTGAAACTTTATTACCCACAATACACTTGCCGCATGCAATGATTATAGTCGACTCGTTGCCGAATGGATTAAAATATTTTGACCGACAAAATAACTTTCTAAGCTTTCGTGTGTTAGGGAAATCATAAAAAGTCTTAAAAATTCTAATAAATTTAACAAACATATACGATAGTTGGTTGAAACGCACGTAACCGAAAACTCGTTAAAGAATTACAATTTAAATCATTCAAGATATAGCATGCTTGCTCTCCGATGTACCTGTTTCCTGTTTTAGGTTCGGGAACTTTCGTTACTTTCCGTGAACGAGAAATACATCGTCTCTTACACGGAAGCAGCCGAAAGGTCCGGCGCGAAACCAATCCCGCCCCTAACTTCATTAAAACTGCGATCGTTGGATGTATATGGAAAAGTGTTTGAATGTTTAGAATTTTCCCAGCAAATACCAATATGGTACAGTAATAAGACATCTATTGCTGGCGAGGATCTTTCAGAAAAAGAAAGTTTATGAAATATTGAAATAAAGAATTTCTCATTGCAAATATATTAAAAAAACAACATTTATACTGATTTTCCAAATTACAAGTTCATCTTTATGTTCAGAAGTTTTAAACAAAACTCGATTTACTTAATACCGAATTTAATATGTCTACTATATTATCCTTTACTGAGACATGGCTGGATGAGAATGATATTTCTCATTTCATCTTGCCCGGTTATTCTGACCCATTCTGTCAATGTAGGCCCAATCGGTTTGGTGGGAGTATATCTGTCTATGTTTAAGATTACTGCTAAAAAAAGACGAGATCTAGAATTACCAACCATAGAATGAGTATAACTGGAAATAGTTCTCGGTACAGAGACATTTTACACTGTAAGTTTTATAGGCCTCCAAACTCTCTAGTTATCATGTGGTCTCATATTTCTCAATCTGTCGAATATGCTTTTAACGCTGGTATTATTAATATCGTAAAAACAGGTGATTTTAATGCTAATCTACTCTTGTGACATGATAATCTTTCTTCTCATCTGTATGATATATATTATTTGATCTTGTACAATTAGTAGATTCTCCAACATTCTATACTGAAGTTTTTATCTCGTTAATAGACATAGTCTGCACTAACAACCCTAATATTATTAGCAAATGTATTGTCGGTAAAAGTTTGATCAACCAGCTAGGTACCATTGTCCAGCTTCCTGCTCTTTAATATCACTAAGGCGATGCAGAAAAGTTTCAAGCGCAACATTTAGCTCTTTGATCAATGAAATAATTATTCATTTAGAAACAAATTAAGATTTGTTAGCTGAAATACATTAATTGATGTTGATATATATACTTCAGTTTTAAACTCAGTTACAGATATACTATTTGACATTGCTTGTATTCCAAATAAAACAGTAACTGTTAGATCTCACGAACCAACTTGGATGTCCAATGAAATTCATAGGTTAATTCAGAAACATAAACGTGTTCATAACCAGCCAAACGAACGCCCACTATCACTCACTGAACTGAATTCCGTCAAATTCGTCAAATATCTATTAACACAATTAAACGGGCTAAAGCCAAACATATTCATAACCTCTATGTGTTCCTTAGAATATCTCAGGGTGAAGATGTGGTGGGAAACTGTGTAATGTTGTTGACAGCTGATAGAAACACCACCACACCATCACGTCTTCACAATAACACTGCTACATCAGAGGATTTCGATAAAGCGTCTTTGTTCAAAGTTTTTTTTTCTATTCCCAGTCAGCTGTTGACGATACAAACGCTGTCCTACTAAATACTGATATTGACTTTAATAATATTTTTTTCAAATATCAATATTACTGCTACAGATGTCAGAGATGCTATATTAAATCCTCATTGTTCTAAAGCCATTGGTCCTGATCTCGTAAATCCTCGATTACTTAAAGAATCTGTTGATGTTTTATGTAACCCTCTAAGTTTACTTTGTAACAAATCACTCACATCTAGTGTGATTCCTACAGATTGAAAGATGTCTAATGTAACACCCGTGTACAAAAAAGAAAATTCTATCCAAACTATTTACAGGCCTGCCTCCTTATTATCGATTGTTGATAAACTGATGGAAATATCTATTTTAAAATATGGTTCATTGTAAAGTCCAAAATTTTAGTAAAGAGTACATGCTTATAAATACATTTGTGAACAGCAGAATAGTGTATCCTGTTTGTTTAAACAGTTATTCATATTACATACAGTATGCAAAGATAAAATATAACATATTTCATATAGTTTTATAATTTCCATGACATCAATCTCCTGGCTGTGATCGTCCTATTCCTCCGTTTCTTTCTATTCTTGATTAATTACTTCCCCTCCTTAAGTCACTTTCCAATGTTTTTTCCCATTAAGGTTCTGTAGACTTTGATAAATCTTAGTCTGCTTTTAATTTGATAGATAATCTTTGTGGGTCTATATTTATCTCCGTGGGTCCGAGGACATTAAATCAATGTCCTTACAGAAATGAGATATACTGATAAAAATCCTCATATATATGACAAAGTGTTATTTCTTTATAATAATAACTGCTATTTTTGTTTCTCTGTCACATAAGAATCGCGAGAAACAACCCTATAACAAATTAAAAAAAAAAAAAAAAAAAACCGCACACACACACACGCTACAGGTCTGATCTAAAATACATACATCATTTAATCAAATTAACAATGTAAGGGAGATAACTCCTACATAAATACCTATAAACCTTACAACCACAAAATACGTCACAACACTGCTAATCGTATTTAACGATTAATTTACACAAACTGTCACAAATTGATATTACTTTAAACAATTGATCATTTGATAAATAACATGCCTCATTTATATAATTTCACACAAGAGAGATAATGTGTTTCCTGCATTGCTATAACATGAAAGGTCCTGTTCGGTTAATGTGATGGTATTGATGTTTTGAAACTTTTTGGAAACATTTTTGGAATCTCATATTGGTTGCCTTTATTTTGTATAAATAAAAAAAAAAACATCTATAGAATATAAACTTAATGTATTTTATGACAATTGCAAGAAAAGTAAACTCAGCTTATACTAATCATTCTTGTTGGCCCGGATGTAAGCTTGCGAGGGGTCTTATTGAGGGAGGAAACCGGAGTACCCGTACAAAACCAACGGGTAGGGCAGATGACACATTTTCTTTTCACGTCAGGAATCGAACCTCGGGCGGTAAGGTGAAAAACGATTGTGTTTCCGCTGCACCATCCAACTACCGCCTGATGATGATGCATTCATGTGTAGTAGAGGAAGACAGAGAAGACTACAACACATTAACCAGTACATGTGGATATGTCGGCGTGTGTCTTGTTAAAATTTTGTAAAACTCATGCAAATTTAAATAAAACCAAAACACATGCTTATTGAAGTCATGTATCAGGCGTTCGATTGTGCGTCTTGGTTATCAACTTGCGCTCGCTTTTAGACAGTACCTATTTCATTTTGATAATAATTTTGAAGAAATACATGGATCTACTGTAGTGGCTGATTTTGTTATACAATGCAGAGTTAGATAAAATGTTTCATGAAATTCAACAAATCTCTACTTAATTTTAAAAACGATGCTTATCTGAACAAGCATTTTTGCCTCTTTTGAGAACGTCAGTACAACAACCATGTGGGTATCACGTTTTACGACACAAGGGACGCAACTCTTATAAAAAAAGAAAATAATGATTTCCCCCCATTTTTTCGATCATTTTAAACAACGACGTATTTTTTCGCAGACGTGCATTAAACCAACGATTAAGATAATAGCTTCAAACTACATTGCGACAACATTATGGAATCTTTGTTTAAATGTGCACCATGTCCTTACATTAAATAATAACTAGTCCTCAGGAAGAGGGAAAATTCCCACAATTCCTCACTGTCAAGGAAGCAGTATGGCGTGAAAATAGCAAGATGTTTAAACTTGGTGAAAAATTAAACATGGTTTTAAACTGACGAAACAGGAGAACATGGCGCTTTTGTAATTTGTGCTTCTTCGGAATGTAAGTATATGTCGTAGGGAACCCCTTTTTCTGTGCGATATGTGATATTAAGACGAAAATTGTCGATATTTGTTTATCGGAACGTGTCTGGACAAAAACAATGCTCTGGAGAAATGTCAAAAATGATTCAAGTGTCTTGTTTACATTCTGCATGATTCGATCTACAGCGTATTACATCAGTTCCATTAACAAATATTGTTCTCAGTATACACAAGTCACTTTAAAAACAATTATAAATAGGAAATTATCTTGAGACAAAATAATTTGGCGTGATGCTTTTCATTGCACTTTGCAACAATCAAATGTTTTATTGAAGAAAGTTAAAGAGGACACAGAATGGAGGCGGGAAGGATGATGATCAATGACCAGGTTATCCTGGAGGAGGATTATGACGAGAATTATCAGCCTAGCGAAGATGGTAAGAGCATTGTTGATTATATACTCTTGGAATGATAATGGCTTAAGTTGAATGTCAGTGGTAGAGATCAGTTGGCAGATGGCCCATTAATAATGTATGATTTTTATATTACCATGATATGGGTGTTGTTTTTTATTGTAAGCTACTGATAATGATTATATAACAATCCAATGAGGAAAAGAGTGTTTTAATCAGAATTTGTTAGAAAATATTAAGGTTTTATTCTAATTTTTATAAATTAAATAGAGTGTTGGTCAGAAGCTTATCTTTATGGAACTTATCTTTCTCACCTAAACATGCTTAAGTAGAGAGGAATTAGCAGATTTATATTCCTTCAGTGGAATTTTAACTTCTCATTGCCTCTTTAAGATTGTATTTTGTTTAAACATCCATTCTTTGGTCCTCAACTGCTAACTCTTTAAGATTTCGGCAGGATGAACTGGAAAGTACAACTGATTAAAACTGATGTGATAGAGGTTATTATTTATTTATTTCCCTTAACTTGGATTCTAACCTGGGACATCATTAGTTTTACTGATGCAGCTAAAAAGAATATTCTTTAGTCAAGCGATGTATTGTGGACAGTTTTATACTAGGGCTACCTACTCCCCTACAGAAAATAATTTGTCCCAGTTTTCAGGGGATACAATGATGTTAAACAGGACATGGCAAAATATTATTCTTTGGGTAAATACATGGATGTCAAAGCCAAATGTAGAAGAGGTAATCATCTATTTCAATGCCTCCTTTAGGATTTGAATGCAGAGGTTCTGGTTTACTAGTGTTATGCTCTGTTGATCAAGATAAAGTTAAAGAGATCTATCTAGCCTAGCAGTATATTGCAGCTCATAGTTTACAAGCTCTCACTAAAATGCTTGTCAAGAGTGATGACAACACAAGCAGCTCCTTTATAATTCACCTTGAACTTTTCGATTATGGGACGTTGTGCCTCCACCCCCCTGTGTTAAGCTTTCACAAAGTTAACAACTTATAGATAAAATAGTAATCAGCAGAAAACAATTTTATAAGCAAAAAGGTAAAAAATTCCAACTAGACAATCATTTCTGTGAATTTTTTTAGCTTGAATATGGGTGTATTTAAAAATACAAATTTTCATTCTGGATTTTCAGAGATCATTGAGTATGCACAAATCATCGGTATTGACCCACGTACAGAGCCTCACCTTTTATGGATTGCAAGGGAGGGAATCAATGCTCCCCTGCCAGAACATTGGAGACCATGGTATGTATATCAGTTCTGTCAGTATATTATGGTTGCTTCAAAGTGATATATATCATAGGTGGTCTGGAACACAGCACAGCTGAAGAAGATGTTGTTAAGGATGGTCAGGTGGTGCAGTGGTAACATACTCGCCTTTCACCTAGCTATCAGGGGTTTGAAAAGGCAAGAGATCACCTGCCTGACCATGTGGGTTACTTGGGGTACTCCAGTTTCCTCCCACAATAAGAACCCTCTCACGCTTACATCTGGACCAACAAGAGTGATTAGTATAAGTTTGAAATAACTTGTTTTGCAATTGTAAAATAAATAAAGTTCATATTTTAAAGATAAATTTTATTTATAAGAAATGTTTAAAAAAATCAATACCATCACAATAACCTAACAGGAATGGCATGTTCCTGCGTATAGTGTGCACCCCCTTTTTGACACAGTTTTAGCTTGAAAAAGTTTGCATTATACGCAGAAATTTATGGTAATTATTATGACCTTTCTTGTTATAGCAATGTAGGAAAGCCATCATCTCTCTTGTGTAAAATTATATTGCATGAATTATCAATTAAGAAATTAAAAAAGGTATTTTATTTAACTTCTTCATCGAGCCAAATTTTTTAAAATATTGTATATATAAATTTACTAAGCTAGCATGTAAAAAAAAAAGTATATGGATATACATGAATGGTATCACCGTGGCAACAGTTTATGTATATCAGGATATTAATTTAATAATTGATAGTTGGGTTCTCAGAATATGTGAAAACAAGTTCCAAAATTCATTTTTGAAAGCGAAATTTCATGAAATAAGGTTTTTAGGCCAGGTCTATGTATGTTTGTCGTATTTATTCTTCCATTCATATCATAACTTCCTTTTTTTTTGTTTCAGCCAAGATCCCAATGATGACATCTACTATTTTAACTTCGCCTCAGGGGAAAGCATCTGGGACCATCCATGTGATGAGTTCTATAGAAAAATGGTGGCTGAAGAACGCAAGAAATATATCATGGGTAAGTTAAATTGTTTCAAGTTTGGACACTTAAGCTAGCCAGTCATAGCATAGGATTTATTGCTTATTGTTGTTTTACATCCTGTTAACAGACAGTGTCTTTTAAGGAAGTGCCACAGTGGTATTTTGGGACTCAAATATGTATAACCCCCTCAAGGAAAATATTTACAACCCTGCACCCCCAACAACGTAGTTTGCATGAGGTATACTGAAATCAGGTGCTCTTCCTGTCTATCTGTAGATGCAACAATGTACCAACTACTCCTCCTAAACAACTGAATTGATTGCAACGATACTTGCTGACTATAATCCTTATACATTGTAGATGTGTGTAATCTATATCAGGTTGAGCAAACTTCCCTTCTTGAAAAGGAATTCCCATTTATTTGTTGCAGCGGGGTGTGAGTTGGCCCCTGGATGACTATTCTAGTTGAGTTCTGGACTCCTGTTTTTCGTTTGGGATTTGCCCAAATTTTGAGAAAACATTTTATCTCTTCATGACAGGACTAATCAAAATTTTGGATATTGTACTCTGGACCAGAAAAAATCTACAAAATTACTTGTTGCATTTTTTGTGGCAAGGAAAGCAGGAGTTCCCACAGAAAAATTACTGACCAGTACAAGGCCTGGGGTGGTTGCCAGTACCATAAAACCACCCCATGCTGGCCTCAAACTCATGACCCAGAGGTAGAGGGCTGGTGATAAAGACAATCAGATTACCTTAACCTCTGGGCCACCCCAGTCCCTATAAAAATTAGGAAAGAAATATTTAGCCTGTTTAGGAATCCTCAGGATGCAGATATAATTTTCCATTATAATTGTTTATTTTTATTTACAGGTGGAGGGTCAAGATCAGGGCCTGGAGGTCAAGGACCTGGAGCTGCAACAGTTGGTCAGTTTAAAGTATAAAATGGTTTAACAATTAGATTGACATATCTTGGAATGGTTCTGGATTAAACTTTTATTTCTTTTATTTATAATACAACCTTCAAGTTGAATGTTACCCAGGTAATTCCCTGAAATAATTGTGTTTATATCATTGTTCCTGGACCAGCCTCTTATGAATTACAGATTCTGAATGCTTGTCAATTAGTTGTGTCATATTCAAGTATGATATTGGCTTTGGTTTGGATTAAAATTGTTAAATCTTTTTTATAAATTTGTATGTACAAAGAAGACAATATCTAAACACAAATATCTAAACACATTTTGGTATAAACCATCCGATAATCATAACAAAAAGAATAAAAAGAAAAAGAAAATAGATTTTCCTGTTTTCCATGTTGATAGTACAGTATTGACATTGAGAGGTGTACTAGGATCCATGGTTCCAATATACTGTTTGTATGCTTTGGTTTGGTGAGGTAAAATATCATATTTTTTAGGAGGAAAGAAAGGCAAATTGGGAAAAGAAGATGGAAAGAAGAAAAAAGACAAACAAAACAAACAGTCTACATTAAAAGTAAGTTGATATGTGAAGTTAATGTCTGTCCAAAATAGGATGGACAAAACCCAGCTGTGATAAAATACACATAATACATCTTTTGTTCTGGTTGTTAGGATGTGAAAGTCATCAATATTATACTCTGTGACTCTATTTTGGATAGTTTATGTCCAAAATAGGACGGAAAAAACTCTGCTTTGATAAAATCTATTATTACTGTCGTGATTGTTGAGATACAAAAGTCATCAATATTATGCTCTGTGATGAATTACTTAATTTATATGTAATAATTTAACTTCTTTGCAATGGTATTTAGAATTGATATGAATGACACATGTAAACATGATTTCCCATTAAAATACTGTGTCACAGACGCACATTATGTCATCTGGACTATTCACATAACACCCTGAATGCATAGTACACTATTCATGAAACACTATTCACATCACATCATTCACTTTTCACATAACAATGCTCACATAACAATGTTCACATCACACTTTTCACATAACAATGTTCACATCACACTTTTCACATGTTCACATCACAATTTTCACATAACAATGTTCACATTACACACTTTTCACATAACACTCTTTTCACAAATAATTTGTGATAAATAATGTACAGCATTTCTCATAGCTAATGAACAATCTTGTGTATTGTTTGTATTTATAGCAGCTTGGTCCATTAAAAGCAGAACAGAGCCTGGGTACTCCCTCCCTTCACCGTGGGGGGCCTGGACAAGGGAGTGGACTGGAACCGATGAAGTCTGGAGGATCATTGGGGCCCCTTAGGGGATCTGCTGGCACTAGTCAACCTGTAAGTTGATATAAAATATTCACAATACTGTGTTGTTGTGCTCTGTGATGGATTGTTTGGGTATAGAATTTTTCTGTTTCACATATTTGACAAGTCAACTTTTTTCGTTGATTGACAAATTTATGATATCTTTTTGTTTTGTATCTTTTTTAGTCTTGTAAAACAACAAAGCAGTTTCTTGTTACTTATATGGAAACCAGATGTGTTTTCTGTTTTAAACTTTATTTGTTCTTAATTTATTATTTTTTTCAAACGTTTATAGTTAATCAGACTGATTCTTCAATAATTTAAGGATGAGTGTACCACTTATATGGTTAGGAAATGAATCTCAAAACACAGAAGAGTTCCTCATCTGAACTGTTACTGTGGCCTGTATGTGTAAATATTATAACTATACCTGGGATACCTGGAATAATTGTTTGAGTTTGAATGGAGCTCACTCTAGAAATAGTACCCAGACCTCTAAACATGAGCAGCTGTTACAGTGCTAACTACAATTATATAGATATTTGCCTTTTAAAGTTTAGGAATCCTGCTCTATACTATTCTATGTTTTGAGCTTTTGTAATGTTAACGGCATATTCATAGTCTAAACCTTATATATCATTCACTTGTCAGTATACAGAGCCAAATAAACCCCAACACACCTCAATGTGTTCTGGAATCAATGTTTATAGAAGCACTTCCATCACCATGGACAATGAAATCTCTGTTGTTGAAAATGAGGCTTTTCAAATAGTTGAAGAAATTTATAAATGATGTTCTTGATTTTATCCATGTTTCCAGGTGATTTCTGATCTTCTATTTATCAGAAATACTTAGCAGTAAAACAAAATGTATTTGTTGACCATAGAATGTAAAACCTAGATCATTGGTTGTAAAAAATAGTTAAAAACTTTATCTCATTACATAACTTTATATCCTGTCAAATCCTGTAAAACTTGTCAGGAAACTTTATGAATCACCAGTTATTTTCAATCTTGGTTCTTAATAATGATAATTGAAACAGTACACTCATCCTGAAGGCAAGCATTAGTGATAGGAAATATTTTAAAGGGCAACAACTCTGTTTATTTCTCTTGATGGTAAAAAGGGAGGTAACAATTGAGCTGTGGTTTATGTTGTAGGGCTCTCCAGTGAGTATTCTGTCCGACTAGGTTGTAGTGATTTTACTGCTGTGATATATTTATTTAAATCTTGCCCATCATACTAAAATCATTGCCAAATTTAGAATTCCAATTCATTGCTTTGTCATATCATCTTTCGGATTAAGGTTGACATGTAGTCATGAGAAATTCTTAACATTTTATGTCCGGTTTATGAATATTTATACTTAGAATCAACAATAATTTACACTTCCATTTTTTGAAAGGTATTTTTTTCTATAAAATACTTAATTTTCTTTTTTTAAAATCATATGGGAAAGGAAGGTGTTCTAGATATCAGTATGAAACATATTCAGTGTCTTGACTGCTTGTTCTGAGTGTTTTGTACAGTGATGTGAGAGTGTTTTGAAAGCGCTTTATTCAGGAACCTCATTTACAATCAATCATTTGTAAGAAATGGCAAAATTAAGAAACTTTCAAATCTCATTTGAACAAAGAAAATCCTTATATGATTGTTTTACTTAGTTTTGTTCTTGGTGCAAAGTGAACTAAATATATTCTGAATTTAATGACTGAATTGATCCACAACTACTGAGTTTGCAGTGAATCTGTAGAAATGTAAAAATATTGAATTAGAAAATGAAATATTTTGAAAAATTTCTTAATAAGCAATTTATGCTATAAAATGTTTCAGTTCCTAATTGTAAGACTGCAAAGATACTGTTAAAAAAAGAAATACAAAAGTCGAAACATATCAGATTGAGGTTCTGTGGTATCACCTGTGATGTTTTTCTATGTATGCTTCATTTTTGCAGTTGTGTGTGAACAGGTGTAAGGGAGTTGAGTTCGCTCTCTTCTTTCAGATTTATTTTTTTTATTGCTAAAAATGTTACTCACGAATCTCTGCACCATGTAATTGTTCACAGTGTAATTAAGTAAACACTTTGTAACAATCACTCTGGATGGCATGTGAGGAGCTTCTGTATTTCCTTCAGTGAGGTATCCACCAGCAGAGAAGAGAAACCCTGCTTCAAAAATAATGTCCCTGCTGTTCACAGGGTAGTACATTATTTTAAGTTTGAAATGTGATAGAATATGACCACAGCTGAAAGTGTGTATGTTCAAGATGCTACATAGGTACTTTTGAATAATCTTGCTGAAACAGAATTTTTAATAGAATTTTATGTCATCTCTCAGTGAAAAATAGTTACAGCTGAATGTCTTCTGATAGAGTGTTTAGAGTTTTCTCTATTTACCAGGACATACACCTGTATTATTTGTACTCTTGCTAGAATTCATGGATTCATCTCCGTAGCAGTAATTCATCAAGTATCATTCTAATTGTATGTAGGGGTATCAGGGGGTGGGGGTGGGGGCATTTTTGTACCTTTATTTTTGAGCTACCCAGTATAAGAGTGTAAAGTGATGTCATGATTTTACCCAACAGATTGATGTTGTGGTAGTGTTCTTACAAAAACAGTCTTCACCTGTTGATACTTTGAATATAATTTTTTCAAATTTTTTTTTTATCATTTTGTATGAAATACTGTATATAAATAACAAGTTCTGTTAAACATCATTTAAATGGAATGAAATTAGTTTTAGTCGCAGGCTTTCGTGGACAGTTGTGACTGTTGGTACGCTTTAGAACACAATGGCCGGCAGTTGTAGAAGCATTGATAATGAAGGGGAAAAAATGCAACTTCACAATTATTAATGCATTTTTGTAAGGCGCTATATGAAATAAGAAAATAACTAGTATTACAGTTTAGACAAGATACTCAGTAGTTCTTCATTTTAATGCATGGCAAATATTTCTTGCTCTCAAAAAGTTGTCAAAACTTGGAGATTGTGCATGACATACCTGATTGTATTTGTAATATACTATAGTCATTTTAAATGGAGAAGTGTAAGTCTGATTTGATTTTCTCTCGAAGTCTTTTTGTATTATTTTCATTTGTTAGTAAATTATCCAGTCATGTCTAACTTATAGTGAAACAGACGTTTTATAAGAAAATGTTTGATACTCATTGTTGGAGAAAGATTTTTGTATAAGTTCTTTTTAATATGTTTTTACATATAGAGTAAGTTAAAGGGATTGAAGGGAAGTGATTCAAACTCTAATGGTGATTTGATCCATTATTATTGAATTTTACTCGAGACTTGTTACTGAGGAATGTATTTGAGTGTTATGCTGTTCTTTATATGAAAATATTAAAGAAAAATGAATTACATGATTTTTTTTTGTTATAGATGCGGTCAAGTATGAACACAACAACAGGGTCTTTCAAGTCTGGTCAAGCCGTAAACTTAAGCAAGAGTGGAAATTTGACGAGTAGCATGAGTATCCCCATCTACTCTGTAGAATTTGAGGATGAGGAAGTGAGTATACAATGTACTCCACTATAAACATCAACATCCAGATTATCAAAATGCCTAAAAACGTTAATTTTCAGATTTAAAATTTTTTGAAAATTAAGCAAAACACAACTTAAGTATTTTTTTAAAAGTATTATGTGTAGTAAGCTATATGAGTCCATTTCATCTTCCATTTAAAAAAAAGAAATTTTGATGTTTGTTTTGACTTGGCAGAATGATTTCCCAGTAAGTAAGATGTTATAGATAACCTTTAATTGTCGTTATTAATGGAATTTTCCACTTACAGGCTGATCATGAGCGACCTGGACGTCACAGTGTGGAACTTGAGGTTCACGATGTCGCTGGCCTAGGGTATGAGGTAGGTGAACTTGTTTCACTCTGTATGAGAAGTATAGTACCATCTCATCAGAGAATTCTAATTGATTTTTTTAAAATGTTTTCACGACAGAATTTCAATTGATCCAGTAATTAAATAAAACACGATTTGGTTTTGAGTCTGCTCCTGAAAGAAATGATAAATTGAGAAATTTTATGTGCATGGTAATCGCATAGGTGTCTGATTATTATATCTGTTAAAGAGAGAACGTATGAGTACTGAAACTTTCCCAATTGGTGATTTCTTAGGAAGAATGAATTTCTCGGGCAGATTTTGCCGAGTTTTTTAGCTTTTCTAAAAGGGATTCCTTATCATATTTTTCTAAGACAGAAATAAATTTATCAGGTGTTTGTATTCACAATAGACTATTATGAAAATCCTTCATTTTAAAACATATTTTAAGCGGTATGTGAAATAGCATAGATGATTAAATAATTCTTAGTTTGAAACAAGGTGATTACACCATTAATCAGATCGTTGGAGAAGTAAATTATGAAATTAAAAATATATTTTGTCTTTGATAGGACTCAGACAGTGACAAGATTGGTCACAAGGAATCTGACAGTGATAGCGAGGATTATGGCAAAGACATTGTGAGTACTGACCAGTTATTTAAGCTACCGGTGAAACAGATGTGTGTTTACTGAGGTCATTAAAAATATCAGTACTCCTGGAAAGGATTAGGTCATATACATTTCATGAGGGCTATTCCAGTAAAACGTCTTCATGACCCCAGAATTCGAAAATAAATCACCTCAATTCATAGTTAAACTGCCTGCCTATTACTTCTTTGCAGATGGTCAATTAAATTGTATGGGTGGTACCCTAAACAAAACCTGAAATCTGGGTGTAGGATAGATGTTCTACAGGAATGACTGTTACTTATTTTTTTCAACAACATGTAAACTATTTTCCACATTTCTTCAACCAATATTTTCCTTTGAGAAAGATGTTTTTTTTTTTAATACAAAGTTTTATTGACTTTACAAAGCTTTTTTGTGTTTGTTTTTATTTATCTTTAATTTAAATATAAACTTTTTTATTAGGACTTTGGTATTGACAACAACTTATCAGAGAGAATAATGAACCTGGGAACTGAGAATTTGGACCCTGTCCGAGGCTCGCTGGAAAAGGTGAGTGTAAAAATGTTTCAACAACTTGTTTTGAACTTGCATTTTCTTATTAACTGTTACATCTGCAGAAAGCACAATCTGAGGAAAATAACATAAAGGGAAAAAATTGAAACGTCTATAATGATTAGAGTTTCCAACTTCAAGTTCTCATGTATAAAGTGAAAGATAATGTTTTATTAGGTGATATGTCTGCCGGTTTTGCCTTTTATGTCGGACTTCTTCAGGTTGGTCAGGTTGGTCCTTAAGAAGCCTGACATAAAAGGCGAAACATGCTGGCAAATAAAAGATTGAAGAACCTACCTCTAGGCTGTTGAAATAGATCCTTCTTTCTAATCAATCCCCTGCATACCCTCGGGTGTCCGGGTGAAAGGCGTAGGACCCATTGATTCACTACCTATATAGAAGCAGTGACGTTGGCTGTACTTTCTGATATTTTCATGTAATTCAATTATATATATATTCTACACTTGAATATTATATTGAATGTATCGTCTTTCAGAAATTGATTTTTAAATAGGAAACTATCCATACTGATCCAGATTAATTAAATATGAAGTGATCCAAGCATTGTCGTGAGTTGAGTATCATATAATACAGTCAACATCAGTTGTTTGGCAGAGGGGCCATGATAGTTTAGTTGATTAGTGTGTTGGTCTACGTTTTCTCATATGAAGGTCTGAGGTGCATATTTCATCGCTTCCTACCCGTGGTAGTTTACGTTTCTCAGGAAGCTGAAAAATGGACTAGTTTCTACTGACAAGATTGTGTCTTTGAGTAAGACACTTTGTCCTAATTGCTTCAGATTGAAATAAGCACCAGTTTCTACAAAGAGACCCTGACGCAAAATGACCTTAGCTGTTCTAGATGATAAACCCAGCCAACAAAAAGGCTAGTTGACATAATGAATTCAATAGAGACGATGACTTTGTATTGTATTATGTTAACAGTTACAAGACTTTGACCCTACAATGTCAGCGTTGTCCACGGCGAGGGGAGATTCACCGGGGGGTAACATCAGCCCCCTTGATCGACCTGCACCAGACGACAGGAAGAAAAGGGCGGAGGTTGCTGCTTCGGCTGCTGAAAGGTAAATCTTTTTATTGAAATTGAATCTGTGGAGTATGAGGCTATCAAAGAGAGTGACTTGTTCTGGAGAGTATCTAAGGCTATGAAAGGGAGAGACACACTCTGTAGAGTATGGGACTGTAGAGGAAAGAGATGCATTATATAGAGTATGAGGCTATTAAAGAGAGTGACTTGTTTTGTAGAGTACGAAACTGGTAAAGAGAAAGACACATCCTGTGGAGTATGACATGTTTGAAGGATGAGACACATTCTGTAGGTTTTGAGGCTATTGAAGGGAGAGACACATTCTGTAGGTTTTGAGGCTATTGAAGGGAGAGACACGTTTTGTAGGGTATGAGGCTATTGAAGGGAGAGAAACATTCTGTAGGGTATGAGGCTATTGAAGGGAGAGACACCTTTTGTAGGGTATGAGGCTATTGAAGGGAGAGAAACATTCTGTAGGTTTTGAGGCTATTGAAGGGAAAGACACATTCTGTAGGGTATGAGGCTATTGAAGGGAGAGTCTATTGAAGGGAGAGAAACATTCTGTAGGGTATGAGGCTATTGAAGGGAGAGACACATTCTGTAGGGTATGAGGCTTTTGAAGGGAGAGACACATTCTGTAGGGTATAAGGCTATTGAAGAGAGAGACACATTCTGTAAGGTATGAGGCTATTGAAGAGAGAGACACATTATGTAGGGTATGAGGCTATTGAAGGGAGAGACACATTCTGTAGGGTATAAGGCTATTGAAGAGAGAGACACATTCTGTAAGGTATGAGGCTATTGAAGAGAGAGACACATTCTGTAAGGTCTGAGGCTATTGAAGAGAGAGAAACATTCTGTAGGGTATGAGGCTATTGAAGGGAGAGACACATTCTATAGGGTGAGACTTGACTAGTATTATTTTCTATTACAGTCCTGGAAGATCTAGGTAAGCTTGTTAGTTGAGCTAGTTTTACGGAGTATGTCGGTTATAGTGACTTATTTCTGAAGGGTCCTCTATTATAACACATTAGCTAAACCATCAAGGTCTTGTCAAAAATGAACAAATCGACAACAAAATCTGTAAATGAGATTCGTTTTCATTTAGAATTCAGACATTCATTTATGATAAATAAAATGAAATAAAAAAATATGTGTTAAATATGTATAATGAACTTTAATATAAGGGTAGGTAGTGTGAAGACATTCACTGGATCATGAACGCCTTTGATAGTTAACAGGGTTTTCTGTGACCCTCAAAACCTTTATCTTGACTCCTTAGATTGACAAACAACCCCAAAATTAATTCAGTTTTACGCTATTTGATTTAAGGTGCGAGCCCTTAGATTCTTACAATTCATAGACTTTTTCTGGCCCCACAGAAACCCATGGTTTAAAATAATATTAGGATCTCTTGTATATACATGTACTTACCATCTATGTCTACAATCATACAACATCCCTTATATTTCACATTGTATCCCCTTCATTAAACTTCAGTACATATGTTAGATATAACTATAATGACCATATATTAGCTAAGAATTATAGAGTTGATAAATCTATATTATTTTAAACAGTATAGTCTAATATTTTAACTTTTCTTTATTTCAGTTATCTGTTTTTCGTCATTTTATTTCAGAATGTAAAAGTCATATTAGTCTAGTTTTCATATCAGTATATATTTATTAACAAGTTTTTATCCAGTGGTTCCTACTACCACGTCAATAATATGTTAGACCAAGCATTTATCTACTACTTATCCTGCCAGATAGTACTAAAGAGTTCCCGCGGTAAATCAAATATATCAATAAGGTGGCTTGTCGCAATTAAATATATATAAAGTTCTTTCTAGTGAGTTGAGAAACGTAAATAGTGTTACTGATGTTTTTCTCTCCCTTTCTTGTCCGATTCAGTTTTTTTTCCCATTACAAATCACTCTTGTCAACCTAGCACCTTCATGTCCTAAGGATTTTAATGGAGCTTTATTCAAAAGTCAACTTCAGGGATGCCTTATATTAGTTCATGTACGGTGTGTCAGGATTCGAAGGTCTAAGTCACTGTTGCTATTTATAAAAATTAGTCAAACATTAAATATGTGTATGTATGAGAGCAATTTTTCATGTCTCTTGTAGTTTCTATTTCATCAGAAATCTCTGCATTATTAAGTGTTAAGTGTGGTCAGTATGAAGTGATATTCAATTTTGATCTTTTAAAAGTCCTGAGAGGAGCCACATTTTTGTTTGATAATTTTAGTAATTTTAATGTTTTAAGTGTAGTATATACCCTTGTAGCAAGGCAGATGTAACTTTTAATGTATTGAAAGAAGTAATTTAAAAATTATCTGCTCCTCAGCTTGATGTCTAAAACTTGATAATCTTGTGCTGAAAGTTGATTTCCCCATGTTTGTTGGAGATAGGTGTTCAGCTGTATGTTGATTAAGTAGCTGTATACACTGATCCTTCAAGGAGACGGCTTTCATAGGCTCTGCCTGTTGCCCAATTCCTATTGTCAAACCCACCAAGACAATAAAATATTCTGAAATCAAAATCCTTCAGAAATATCAGAACATGTCTTTCTTTATCTTTCTACATATTTCTCATTTCTTTTATTAAATTGGTTCCTTGAATATCACAAGTAGTATCACCACCAGCACTCAATGAGAATTTGACTGCCTGCCTGTAATGGTAGTCCACACACGATGAAATGTGCATGCTGTATCATTACATAGGGAGCTCCACTTGTCTTTAAGAATTTATATGTTGTCCCTCTGGGCTTATTGTGGGATAAATACAGTATTGATTTTTGTGACATCCTGGTTGTCATCATGGTTAACATTAAAACAGGATTACCTCTGTCATGATGGATAAGTCATGTTATCACCATCAAGGGCTACGCCTTGTAACATGGTTCGTTCTAATCTCTTGCATATATTCTGTCTTCTGATCTTTTATTTTGTGGAAAAAAATTCCTCATATTTACTCCATTTTTTGTTTTTTTCTAACTTCAGACGTCTCACACGACAGGATTCGGCAGAAATGCCTACGTATGTTACTTGTGTTACTGTCAGATATCCCCTGTGTATACAGCTAGCCACCTATAGTACTTCTGCTATATCAGCTGTTTCTGTAATCAGGAATTTATTTCCAAAACAAACTTGCAAATCATTATAATGTGTAAAATAATATTTCTGATGAATTGGATATGAAACATGTCAGTATCTTAGAATTTGTGAATTCACATTTGCATTGAATAATATTTTTGATGATTAACAAATTTCATAAATTTCACTTTGAAAAAAAAATCCTGAAAATTTCTTTAAAAAGATTCAGAAAAAATACAAGTGATGCAAAGAAAAGATAGAAAGGAAAAAAGAAAACAATTTTTTTCTTAAACACGGTGAGAAATTTTGAAAGTTGCACTTGAAAATGAAGAGAATTATTTTTTTGATTTGTTTGACATTGCTGATGTAGCTGAGGTGTATCCACTTGTAGATTAAGCATGTATCCCATCGTATTGTGATAACTCACATTAATACAGTGATCATATAAGTAGATTTGGTCAATAACATTTCGGGACCATTCAGTCTTCACCATATCTTAATGTCTGGTCATACAGTCAAACCTCATTATCTCAAACTCGTACAACTTGAAGACCTTGCTAAACTTGAATCATTTCCTTGATCTCTGCCAAACTTTACTCAAATCATTTGAACTCCTTAAATTGAACACTTGGTTATCTCAAAGTCTTCCCATGATCCCGCTGAGTTTGAGATAAAGAGGTTCATTTGTATTTATATATTAACACTTCATATTCAATTGGTAATTAAGGCATACAATTTGTACTCCATTGATTTTTTGTTTATCATTAAATATTAATTAACGGGTTCATGAACCAGTTTAACTTATTTGTGCGCCCTGGAGATTTTTATTAACTTCATCATGTATCCTGCCACAGAATATGTGTTTCCAGGCACTCTTGTAGTTTTCATATATCTGATAAATATTAACACTGGTGGCCTTTTTTAGACAGACTGAGATCAATAGTATGAAAACTTGAAAATAAATTGAAAATACAGACCGTATTATGAGGTAGTGAATGCTGTTTATATATGCTGATGTGATCATACATATAAAAATGTAGTCATTTAGGACCAGAATGCAACAAATTTTTCCTTGTGTCAGTTAGAACACTATAAGTATACTTATTTTAGCACAATCAATTTTAGCACATCATTGATTTTTAAAAAATAAATGCATGGATGAATTTGCTATGTAAACGCAATACAGAAACTTCAATTAGTCTGATCAAATGTTAGCACTATAATTTGTATGAAAAAATGCTGAAATAAGATATTGCTAAAATTTGTATGTTTATAGTATACATGAAAAATCTGTGATATATCACGACATACTTCCCTGTAGAAGATGCTTGGGTAGGTGCATGGGTGTTTTATGTTGTTATGGTGACGGTATGACAGAGGAATGCAGTCTTAATCTTGTCACATAATGAAAAATAACTCCCGGTAATATAGTTAAATGATAACTTACAAAATACAAGGTAACTGTTCTAATGATGTTTTTTGTGAAAAAAAATGACAAAGTTCATAACTCTTGAAATTATTTTATCAATTTATAAATAATTAATAATTTTTCCCACAATGAATGGAAAGAATCTTACGTAAAATGAGACAAAATTTACCTATTATGAGGGTAAATCTCACCTTTGTGAGTTTAAGCATTGAGATATTACACCTGAGAAAAAGCAAGATCGAGTCAAAAGGTTCATCTCATAAAGGTAATCAGTTGATTTTTCAAGTAGTCTTTAAAAAGGAATGAAAATACTGTAGGATTTATACTATCAAATTAAACTACCTGCCTGTCACCTACTGAAGGCTCCGTAAAGTTGTTCCACAAGCTCTCTATATGTCTAGTGTTTTATAGGTTGCCAGCATCCCTTGTAATTAAATACATTCCTCATCATTATCATGAATGAAATAAACAACTTAAATCAATCATGTACATTTTTTCAGTGTTGAAAATTTTCGAAATTTCTTCATAACGACAACCCAAATTTAATCTGGATCATAAATTTATTTGTTAACATAAGCAATTCAATTAGACATTCTGTAGACTATTAACTATGGTATAAACAGTATACTTTAAATAGTTAGTTGCTGTATGTAATCTCTGTATTTACGTAAATAGAGTTTAATTTCAAAGCTTCCAGTGATGAAACTATTGGGTTATGGGAATTTTAGCAATTAAAATACTAACTATACTCATATCTTTGATAAATGTATCTATTCTTACACTTTATGAAAATATGTGGATTTTTTTCATTACAGATATATGAATCCGTATCAAATTCATTTTGCAAAGAATTCTCTTTCTAGATCTTATAAGTGGATTTGCTATCTTTCTCTTGATGAATTGACTAAATAAAAAAAATAAAATTGTTTGGTGTTTTGTATACTAAGCAGACTTTGTTTAGTTTTCTTGGAAGAAATACACACTTTTTTCTTTTTAAGGCTGTTTGTTCAATTTTCTTTGAGAAGATATGTATTTCATTTTTCCTTTTAAGGCTGGAGAAGTTTAAAGCTGGATTCACACTCAGGAAAAGAATGTACATTGATGTGTGGTTTTTTGTAGGCGGGCAGAACAGGACCGTTTTTTGAGAGAAGAAGAAAGCAAAATCAGACTTGGCAACGAGCGAACACTACAAGATTTAAGACTGAGATTAAAGAAGGAGCTAGAAAATGCCAAGCTGGATTTGTTAGAGGTAATAGAGGTCGAAGGTCAGGTTATAGTATATGTCAGCTCAAAATTTAATGGTAAACTATTAATGGATGACAAAGGTTGGAAGAAGGAACCTTCCCGATCATTAGATATATCAATCATTGCAGTATCCCTTATGAAAAATTTGTATTGAAGATTTTTCTGCCTTTTCTTATTCAAATAATCCAAGTAGCTTAGTGTTCAAAGTTCTATAAGTAATAATTTCCTTTCACCATGAAAATTGTTGTTAGGGGAGAGGGATGAGAAGGAGATCGAGACATTTGAAATTATTTTACAATATGAAACAAAATTTTGATGTTGTTAAACGCAAACAAAAAGATCCAATTTCAAACTTTACTGTAAATCAAGTGTTTTCTTTTCATTGGTTATTGAATTCTTTATATAGGATAAAGACAGAAAACTTCGGAAACTCAAAGAGGAGATAATTCTAGATCAAGAGACAGAAGAAACACGACTGAAGCGAGATAAAGAGCAGCAGTTTAAGTAAGTAGCACAATTAAAATATCATTAGAAGATCAATAATGACGAGTCCCTGTCCTCGAAAGTTGGAGTAAGTTCACAAGGAACGTAACCATATTTCATAAATACAATAAGCAAACTTCAATCTGCAGAAAACTTTTGTTATTAAGGCCTTGTGCATTTAATGTGTTTCCATTTGTCCATTAAACAGTTGTTACTTAAGCGTGTTGATGATATCTTTATAGTTCAAGAATAATGTCATGAAAAGTCTTTGTTAATTTTGTGGGAAATCTGAAAAGCTGATTGATTAAAGGTACAGAAATGTTGCAAATTTTTGTATATTTTTGGAAATTAATGAAAAGCTGTTTCAAGAGTAGTACATACCTGAGTACATACCTCATTTCATCATCTGAATCTTTAAAAATAAAATTCTTCTGTTTAACCAAAATAATTTGGAAAGAGATCTGACTTTTAAATGAGGTATGAAAGCTGTAGAATAAGATTTAGTACAGAGGAGTGTGACAGTTGATTCTACACTTGTGTCTTTTTCTATGTTTTGAAGTGCAATAACTACTATCTACCCTTCAAAGGGTAAATGTGGTGTTATCTCCCTTTGTAAGTGTTACTTCCTTTCTTTATTATCTCCACTGTCACACTATACAGTGAGTTGGACACTCAGATAAAGTCTGATTTAGAGAAAGAGAAAAAATCTATAGAAGAAGAAAAGGCTGCCACACTTGAGCGATTACTGGAGGAAATCAAGGAGAAACATACTGAGGAGGAGGAGAATCTGCGGTAATCTTGACAAGATGAAAGACCAGTTTTTTCACCAGTTGTTGCTTCCTTCCTTCCTGGTGTTGATGTTGTAGAAGCATGATTGTTGTGTGCAGATTTGAATTTTCCATCTGGTGTTTTTCCACAGAGATTTCATTGTTTGTTATTTTGCCTTCATTTCATACCGGTTCCATTTACTGACAATTATTTTGTAAAAGTACTCCTCAGAAAGATTTCCATCTGTAATTATCATAAATCATTTCCCAATTAAATTTCCTTGTTTTCATTCTGTGTTGAGAACTTTGCATGCTGATCATTTTCTTTCGTTTTGGTATCCTCTTCACAATACATCTGATTTTTCTCACTTTGCCCATGGTTGTTCAATCCTATTGTTTAAACAAGTACCTAAACATTCTATTGAAATCAAAAACTTTCCATCTTCATCTGTTGACTTCCTATTCCTGCCCTTGTTGTTGTTGTTTATATTGTCCAACCTAACAATGCAGTTACGACATATAGTGACCGTGAAATTGAAATATTTTCAAAATTCTTCAGTTTAATGTGATGTGTATACTGTAAGATCACTAATTTTTGAGGTTTTTTTTTTCTTGGTTTAGTGGGTATCATTAATCCAAAAATTTACATGTCCTCAAAACGATAAACAATTAAGCATACATGTTATCTTAATACTACAGAATTTCATTAGTATTGTTATCCACAAAATCAAGTTTCAAACAAAATATGTATTTTTTCAAAAACCTCAAAATTTGAGTCCAGTGAAAAAATATGGTTTCACAGTAATACCGTGGTAGTTGGAAATTAAGTTAAAGCCTCTCATTGTTAATGGGGAAGTGAAATATCACATTACAGGTCAGTCCTGCTGGTAGATTTTAGTAGGCAAGGTTATTTTGGCGTAAATATATTAAAAAATTCCTTACTCTGATTCTTCTAGTCTTTAAGTGTTCAGCTGGTGCAATTTTGAATCTGTTTTCTTTGAGTTTTAACTTTCTGTTACAGTTTCAGTTCTGCAGTAAGGACAGAGGTTTAAAACTAAAAATGAAAAAAAGAAGAAAAATTATACAACGATTACAAATGTACTTATTACACATAAGCTTATTAGATAGTTGCTGAAATCGATAAAAAAAAAATACGTCGTCTTTGAATGCAAAGTCATTGGTCTTTCATTCAAATTAATCAAAAATATGCTATATGAATGATTTACTGGTAAATCTTTCGCAGGAAACAAATGGACCAAGATCTGGAAAAGCTGCGGGAGGAAGTAAGATCCCTGCAAAAGGAAGAACAGAGTCGACTTGTTGAGGACAAACATAAGATTCTTGAAAGATTGAAGTCACAAGTTGACTCTGAGACGTTAGAGGAACAACGACGTCTAGAGGAACAGAAACGTGAACAGTTTGAGGCACTACAGGCTAAACACAGACTGGAGTTAGAGAATTTAACTGATGATGCAGAGCGAAAACATCGTGATAAGGTTGACCAGCTCAGGCGTGACTCTTCAGATAGACATGAAAAGGTACCGTAACACAATAGACTAACTTGTTGTGATATTTCAGAACATCTTCTTCAGGTTGTAATGACAAGAGAATAAAAGTTCTTTTAACACAACCAGTAGAAAATTTGAATGTGAAATTTTTAGGTGACTACACAGTCACCTTCACCAGACAACTTACCAATGTGAAGCACACTAGCACTGGTTGAAGTAGTACACACTTCAGTGTTTGTACACTGTACAATGGTCATTTTTCTGATGAAGGTGACTGTGTAGTTTGTACGTCAGTTCTAGAATGCTTCACATCAATCACACTCAAATCATCTACTGGTTGTGTTATAAGAACTTCAGTTCTATTTCTCATTGTAAGTATGTGCTTTCTTGCTTGGTAAAGATGTTTTGGTGATTTAGGCTTGCTAGCTTACTGGTTTAAAGACTCATTGTCACACTTCATGCATTTGGTACAATTATAAAGTTTAACAATAAAAGAAACACTTTTTAATGTTTTCAGATAATTTAGTTCGTAAACTTACTCTAATACTGTCATTTTACAGGTTCATTGAATCCAGTGAAGTCTTTTATTAATTATCATGTACTTTAGTAATTTCGTGAATGTTAAGTGAATGTTTAATTTTACATGATGTGTAAAGATAATAGTGTATGTTTGAGAGCTAGATTTCTGTAAAATCATTTATTTTTGTGGGACTCTATTTTCATGGTTTTGTCAAAAAATCACTTTTTATAGGAATCTGGATTTTGTAAATAATATAGCAAGGTAAACCTACCAATTTTAACAGTTTGTGGTCATGAATTTTTGGATTAAGAGAACGAATGGAAACAAAAATAAAGATCCCCTTGAAAATAAAGGATTTTACAGTAAGTTTGGTGTGTGGTTGCTGAGTGCTTTTGAACTTTATGTAGGAGCTTCATCGCATTAGAGAAGAATTGAAACGTGTTCATGAACAAGAGAAAGAAGAGAAGGAACAAGAGTTAGAGGCTGCGAAACAGCGTCAGAAAGCAATAGATGATCTGGATCGAGGGGTAAGGGCTAGAACACTTTGTTGATGTGATGCTTTATTCAACACTGGACTTTACCAACTTTATATACACACTTGACTTATCTGGCACTAAATTAAAGTCTTTTAACAGCTCATCTTTTGTGTCTGTTGCAGTTCAGTAACATATTCAATAAATACTATTTCATTTCCCTGTAGTGAGTTTGTATCTTTGAGTCAGTATTAATGGGTCGTCTATTTGATTTTATTGTGTAATTATTATGCCTCTGAAAGTATTTGATAATGTAAATAGTATACATTGACATTGAGATAGACACATGCTCGCGGTTCACTGCCCACAAGGTCAAATTGAATCTCTGGTCAGAGCTTGGTTGTAAATGTGAGGTCAGTTGTCGTTAATTAGTGGTCTTTGGGACTGTAAGAAGTGGTCGTAATATGGAATAGCAGGGTGGTCGTAATACTGAGCTACCAATACAAAGATATATAGTAGACAAAATGAGACTGAAAACAAATTGCCCGTTATAGCTGGGTGGTCGTAACTTTGAGGTGGTCGTTGGATGAGGTTTCACTGCATGTAAAGGTGGTTCAGGTATGTTCTACAATACCCCATATCAAGGGCATATTTGTTACACATATAATTATCCCCTGCTTTCACCGAAACAGGGGATATTAATTTGGGTTTTGTCCACCCGTCTGTCTGTCTGTCACACTTTCGTTTCCATGTTCTAACTTCCCCAAATATCATCCAATTTGGGTGAAACTTGGTCAGCAGATGCATCTTGGGGTCATTAAGACTGAGTTGGACTATCAGTGTCATCTGTTAATAATTATGCAAACTAATGAGGTATCCTTTGATTTCATTGGTCGGTTTATTTCCGTGCTCTAACTTCCCTAAATATAATCCGATTTAGATGAAACTTGGTCAGCAGATGTATATTAGGGCACATATATTTACTTGCAATATGTTTGGAAAGTGGGGGATATAAATTCCAGGAAAGTGCTTGTTATCTTGGATATGGTTTCCTCATCATTATCTCAGTTACTTCATAGGATTTTAATGTAAAGATTGTAGCACTGAGCTGTCAGACAAAGAAGCTAATTGATTTTCAAAACGGACATTTAGTAAAATACTTGTAACAGACAGCAGTCAATAAATCCTTAAACAAAAATCAATAGAAAACTTCGTGAGAAACAGATGCTCCTTAATCCTCGAAAGGGGACAACTTTTGATAGCCAGAAGAAAATATGCATTTACCTCCTTGTCTAACAGCTTGATGAGGTAATGGCTGAACGACGACAAGATGTTCAGCAACAGCAACAGAAGGAGCTGTCACGCCTGAGGGATGAACACGATAGTACCATCCGTAAACTTCGGGACGAGTTCCAAGATAAGGTACAAAAAAAATAATGGAGAAATTTTGTTTTATAAAAAATAAAGACTCATTTCTTGTGCATTATATAAATAAAGACTCACTTCTTGTGCATTATATAAGATAAAGACTCATTTCTTGTGCATTATATAAATAAAGACTCACTTCTTGTGCATTATATAAGATAAAGACTCATTTCTTGTGCATTATATAAGATAAAGACTCACTTCTTGTGCAGATTGTGATAAATATTGGGAGGTAGACCTTATTAAATCTCATATTGGTCACTTTAATGGTACTGTTGTCATCACTTTACTTAGGAAAGGAAGGAAAGACAACTCTTGGATGAGAAAATTGAGAGTGAGGTTCGGAAACTACAAAAACAGAGTGAAAGGGATTTAGAAGAAGCACGGCGAAAATTTGAACGGAAACGAGAATCCATGGCTGAACAACTGGAGGATGAGGTAAGATTATTTAAGTTCATCACTTTTTCAGTCGTCCTTGTTTAAATAAATGTATTACGTAGATCATGACATGAGGTTCGTGTCTCCCTCAGGGATACACTCCTTTCTACAATCATTATTTCATGATCAGATGACAACTTTTCATTATGAAAACACAATAAAAATTGTGTCAGTTTCATTGCCGATTCAGCTGTAGAATTCTATATTTTTACCTGCTTAGTAGACTATATAGAAAAGAATATTCTAATCTTATCCAGTATACTATGCTCGTGGAAATTACGAAAAGGAATCTCTAATGTTGACTTAGAGAATGGAAGTTTCTTCTTCATATGCTTTGTACCATCTTGGCCAGAGATTGTAAAGTTCTTGTAGTTTAAGATATATCGTCACATATGTCTGATTGTTGTTTAAAATATCATTACTGCAAAACAGTTGCTTTTTAGTTTAGATATTTTTGCTATACATTATTTGTCATCTTTATATATATATTTATTATCTACATCGTCATTGTCATCTTTATATATATATTTATCATCTACATCATCATTGTCATCTTTATATATATATTTATCAACTACATCATCATTGTCATCTTTATATATGTATTTATCATCTACATCGTCATTGTCATCTTTATATATATATTTATCATCTACATCATCATTGTCATCTTTATATATGTATTTATCATCTACATCATCATTGTCATCTTTATATATATATTTATCATCTACATCATCATTGTCATCTTTATATATATATATTTATCATCTACATCATCATTGTCATCTTTATATATATATTTATCATCTACATCGTCATTGTCACCTTTATATATATATTTATCATCTACATCATCATTGTCATCTTTATATATATATTTATCATCTGCATCGTCATTGTCATCATTGACAGCTTAAACAGCAGCTGAAAGAGCAGAAACACAAGCTCCAACGCCAGACTTCTAGTCTAGATAGAGAGGTGACACATGCACGCTTTCTGCCAAATCTGTATCAATATAAAGCTTGTCAGTTAGTCTTGTCATTTTAGATGTCTGCATGCAAGCAAAGCTTTTATCAGATCATGATGAAATATAATCCTCAATGATATTACATGATATATCTCCCTGGAATTCTTTCCATTAGCATGCCTGGAGCTGTGGTGTAGATAAAAGACTGAGATTTCCTAATGCATTTCTGTTTCTTGTGATGGGAAATTGCATGGATGGTTGTTTGGGATATCAAAAGTGATGATGGATTTCTTACACATACTGTCAAATGCAATATTTTTCTGAATCTCAATTTTTATTTTCAATTCTATGTTTTGAGCACTTGATTTCATGACAAGATCCCAATAGTACTTGCAAAATCCACTTTATGAAAAAATGGTGTTAGATTTTTTAACAGTCTATTAGTGTGTGAAGACCTGGGTTCATGATTAGAGAGTACTCAAAGAATCGATGAAAATGTAATAACCTACCAAAATGAATGATTTCACAGTAATTTTGATGTTTATATTTGTATATTATATGTGTGTATATGTTTTATATGGTGTGTATGATGTAGTGATTTGAGAGGTAGAATTGTTATAGAAATAATGAAATGTAAATGAATTATTGAAATCTTCAGGACTTGTGGAAATGGTATCAGTCAGGAAATTTTTAGCAAATTTTACAAAAAAAAAAAAAAAAAAAATCTTGCAGTAATATTTATATGAAAGGTATTACACTCATTTTAATCTCTATCTATCATTGAAATGATAAAACTACAGCAGTATCTAAAAAGATGAATCCTATAGTAGGTATGCAAATTAGGGTGAAAAATATTTATCAGTCATGATGGAAATATTATAACGTTCTAAAGATATACATTACATTCTGTATGAAAACTTTTTTTCTTGAAAATGGATTAGGAACATGTTTCAAACTATAAGACTTCAAACTACTGTACTAAAACTTCAAACTACCATACAAAGACTTCATATTACTTGCTAAGAACACAAAGCACTGTCTTAAGACATTAAACTACTGTCCTAAGACTTCAGATCACTGTCCATAGACTTCAGATCACTGTCCTAAGACTTCAGATCACTGTCCATAGACTTCAGATCACTGTCCTAAGACTTCAGATCACTGTCCATAGACTTCAGATCACTGTCCTTAGACTTCAGATCACAGTCCTAAGATGCCAGACCACTTTCCTAAGACATCAAACCATTGTCCATAGAGATCAAACCATTGTCTTAGATCACTGTCCAAGACTTCAGATCACTGTCCTAAGACTTCAGATCATTGTCCTAAGACTTCAGATCACAGTCCTAAGACTTCAGATCATTGTCCTAAGACTTCAGATCACAGTCCTAAGATGCCAGACCACTTTCCTAAGACATCAAACCATTGTCCATAGAGATCAAACCATTGTCTTAGGACTCCAAACCATTGTCCTAAGACTTCAGATCACTGTCCTAAGACTTCAGATCATTGTCCTAAGACTTCAGATCACAGTCCTAAGATGCCAGACCACTTTCCTAAGACATCAAACCATTGTCCATAGACATCAAACCATTGTCTTAGGACTCCAAACCATTGTCCTAAGACTTCAGATCACTGTCCTAAGACTTCAGATCATTGTCCTAAGACTTCAGATCACAGTCCTAAGATGCCAGACCACTTTCCTAAGACATCAAACCATTGTCCATAGACATCAAACCATTGTCTTAGGACTCCAAACCATTGTCCTAAGACTTCAGATCACTGTCCTAAGACTTCAGATCACTGTCCTAAGACTTCAGATCACTGTCCTAAGACTTAAAATTACTTAGCCATGTTCTGATATTTAGTATAAAAACTGTAGTCCTATAAGTACAAGAAGCTTTTATAAAAAATTATTCTCACTGACATGATTTATCAGACGGAAAATAAGAAATTGAAAATGAATAAAATAACTCAACTTCCTTTAACAGGAACTGTATAATTCTTAAGATATGAAAGTTATCTGCTTATACGAAACTTTTTATGTCAGAAAACAGCGTTATTAATGGAATGTACTGTATGCTTGTTGGTGTAAGGGCACTGTTAATGCATGCATCTATAATTGCACATCACTTTACATCCAGGTATAGAGTTAATGGTATTATCTGTTATCATATAATCGGATCAAATGTTTAGTTCACTCAATTTATTAAAGCAGTTTGAAGTTATCATGATTTTTTTCAGATATGGAAAAAGTAATTCCTAGTCTGTTAATTTCTGAAAATCAAATATTTGATAATGTTTATCATTTTCAATGAATCACTCTGGATATGTATCTATAGACATTGTGATAGGGTCATTGTGTATGTTCTTATGATTGTTTGTCTTTCATCCAAGTATGTTCTAACATACATTTCTAGTTTAACTGGATCCAGAGTATATTATCAGTTGTAAACAGTACTCCTTGGGTTTGATGTATTTCTCAGATTACCAGAGTAATTTATTATATATGACTGTTAATAACAGAACATTTAATTACTTTGAGAAAGGAGACTGTCATGACTAATATATATATTATATACTAAAAATTATCCTTATGCTCTGATAAAATCTCAGAACCTCGTTGTGTAAATTGACATGGGATGTTTTGACCACAGATGGACAGAGCATAGTTATTTTTAATGGACGTTCATGAATTACTTTGAATTCAGATAGTATTTTTGAGGTTTTTAAAAACTTTTTATCTTTTACTTAAAGGAGGAAGAATATCAAGAAAAATTAGCTGAATTTGAAAGAAAGAAGACAAATCTGGAAAAATCTGCCAAGAATTTAGATGCTCAGGTTTGTATCGATGAAGAAATTTGTCTCCCATGTTTGCTCCATCAAGTCCTGAATCAATGATGCCATTCAAAGCGTTTCATATCTGAACGGATTTTGATAAAACTTGATACAAAAGGTCATCCAAAAAACCATCCAATAACTCAGATGAATTAGGTTGCTGTAGGATATCATTGGCATTGATTTCCTACAGACATATTTTCTAGTATTTTTTAATTTCCTTAAAAATTGAAAAAAAAACCCAACTTTGATTGCACAGCATCTATAAACAAAATATACAAATATCTTTGAATCCCACTTACTTTTGCTAATCAAAGCACGAAACACATGGAGATGATGTGGTCGGGAGAAAGGGGTGGGGGTGGGGGTGTTGATTGGAGGGGTTGGGTCGGGCAGTAGGGGTTGGGGGTTGGGGGGGGGGGGGGTCAGAGTATCAAGTTCACACCTGATTGTCTAATAACTGTAACTTGAAAAAATGAAAATGATTATTTTCTCCCAACACAGGAAAAGAAATTGGATGATAGAAGAAAGAAGTTTAAAGAAGACAAAGACAGCTTTGAATTGGATCAAGATGTATGTGTATTGTAACATTTTTCATGTGAGATGAAGGCATGAAGTTCTATGTTTTTGTATGACACACAAGTACAAGAGGATAGTGCAAATAGTCTTTTTATTCATAATGGTGAGCAAGCTGTTGTTCAGGATAGAAAATATTTCAGAAATGAATGACTTATCAGTTGTTTAAAGACAAAGAAAAGAATTACTAAGACCAATGAAATTTTGTATAAACAAAACATGGACAGATTGCTGATTGATATAATTTTTTTTCTGTAGGAGGCCTTTTCAAGTAAAAATAACCAGCTCAGTACAAGAGAGTTGGAGAGACTGAAGGAAGAACGGAAACAGATCTTGGAAGAAATTAACACAGAGAATGAAACTTTGGAACAACTGAAGGGTGAACGCCGTACAATAGAAGGCGATATCACCAAGATGAAAATTACTCGTGAAAATAACAATAGAAAATTGAAGTAAGAACCGTTTTACTTTGTTTAATTTTCCAGATTGGAAAGGTATGATAAATTGCTCGGTCATGAAAAGTTTAGAGAAACATGTTCAGACATTGTTTCTCTTTAGTTTCTTATAACGAAAATTTCAAAAGATAGAGATAACTTATATCTGTTAGATATAAAATGCAGTAATTTTTGTCGTTTGTACGTAACTGCCAATGTCACTGAGGATAGTGTGTTGATTCCTTGATATAAGTATAGACCTGTTTTTATAGCGAGATGAAGGAACGAATGGATCGTAAAGGCAAGGATCTGGACAGTTTACAACAACGAATCATTGATGCAGCTGACGAGACAAAGTCTCTTGCCGAAGAGAGGCTACGGGCTAACAGTGCAGCGAGGTCATATGGTACCCCTGATATAAATGCCACACCCACACGACGCACGCCAGTCGCAGGTTTACTCAGTGATGATGAAATAATCAGTGGTAAGCTTCATGCCTCATGAAACGTCAAGGTTTGCTTGTGTTGTCGTAACTTCTTTCTGTATATCTTGATGTTAGAGAAGTGTCAGGATTGAAATTTATATTTTACCTCAAATAATTTTTAGCTAGTTTGTCTGAAAATACCTCAAGACTGTCAACATTTTAAGAATTCTATTGAGTTGCACTTAACAGAGTGATTGGCCTTTGAAATTTTTTTCTAGAACTTGGCTACTGTGAACGAATGCTAAAATTTTACTCATTTCTGTTCTGTTCAGATGTGCCTCCAAAAAGACGAGTCAAAAAAATACATTATCTAGATGATCGTACAGATGAAGAGGATGTTTCATCCTTTGGTGGGCGTGTTTGGCAGGATCTTCTGTCAGATGATGATAGCTTGGAGGATGTGCCTATAGCCAGACATGTTTCACGCAGCAATGGGTGAGTTACTGATTATCTCCCTTGACTCTTACCCTTTTATTGACATCTGCATTTTACTCAGTTTCTCAGAAATAAGCATTAAAATGTCTTACATTATTGTGTATACATTTAAATCATGACAAACATTGATATTCGTTGCTAAAAAGAAATTATTTCCATTTAAGTGAACTCAAAGAGCACTTTTCTAAAGAGAAAACTGCCATTTCTGCCACTAAAGAATTCCTGCGCAAACAGAGACAGTCTTTAAAACGACGTCAGTCTGCACTCCAAGCGGCACGTCAGGAGCTTACCAAAGATATTGTCAAACAAAGACAAGGGGTAAGAACATTGTAGATTTATTAAAACAAAAAGTTGAGAGTTGTTAAGCTTACAGTATTACCAAAAATTTTCATGAGTATTTTTTGTCATAGTTTAAACTTGAGACATCATTTTCAGGTTCAAGGTAAAAACTTTTTTAGTACCAGATTCTGTTTAATCATTTATTTTTGTGGAAATTTATTTTCATGGGATTTGAGGTTATTTTTTATCAACAAATTAATTTGTCAACAAATATTTAAAGTAAGATTAAGGAGAGTTATTAAGCAATATTTACTCAAAGTGAAGTGTACACAAAATAGTTTTTTTTTTTTTTTTTAAACATGGAATTAATCCCATGAATTTTATGTTGATGAACCATAAAGATTAAGCACCATGAACATATATTATTCTGCCAGAATTATACATTTTGATCTTTGACATTTTCCCTTGGTGAGCTTAGCCATAAGGGAGACTGTGTTAGGCAAACTGGTATACTAACCTACCAAACTTGTGAAACAGATTAGTTTTCTAGAAACCCATCATCCCTTCTATAGTTACAATGTTCTTTTCATCTGAAATATTTCTTGTAAATTTAATTTTCATGGTTTTGTCTGCAGCCATATAATCAAAAATATCTATATGATTTTAACAAAAATATCTACAACGATTTTAACAAAATTATCTACACAATTTTACAAAAATATCTACACAATTTTACAAAAATATCTACACAATTTTAACAAAATTATCTACACAATTTTACAAAAATATCTACACAATTTAACAAAAATATCTACACAATTTTAACAAAATTATCTACACAATTTAACAAAAATATCTACACAATTTCACAAAAATATCTACACAATTTGAACAAAAATATCTACACAATTTAACAAAAATATCTACACAATTTCACAAAAATATCTACACAATTTTAACAAAAATATCTACATGATTTTAACAAAAATATCTACACAATTTTAGCAAAAAATGTCTGCACAATATACAGGGATATTTCAGGGATACTAACAGATCAACAGTATTTGTCTATTTACCTTTAAAGACAGGTAATATAGTTTTGAAATAAGTTGTAAGGTTTCTTCAAAATTTCTCTTTTAAGCAGATATTGATTTATGCGATACTGGCGCTGATTTTAACATATCAAACCCTGAAGTTCAGGAACTGTTGTTGGATCAGATTGTCATGCTGTCACTATTGTATTTTCATTAAATTTTTAAGTGTTCTTTGATTTTTTATTGAAGAACCTGTCACCAGATAGTGCCTCTGTGCTGGCTGACGTGAAACAGAGCCTGGAGAAGGAAGAGATAGAACTGGATCAGATGGAGTCCCAGATGAGGACAGGTAGTCGCCTCGTCAGGGAGAAGGAAAGACGTCTACGTCAGCTCAAGTCGCAGGTCCACACAGGCACAGCTGGTGTACATGTAAGGCAGTAATCATTTTGATGTATATATAGCTGTTTAAATCTCTTTGTGTATGATTATACAGCCTGATGGTTTTATGACCTTACTTCACTTCTTGCCAAAATATTACGAAATCATACTTCTCTTTTTCCCCACAGATTTTTCCTACACTTTGATTCTTGTATTTTTACTAAACCTATTGCAGTGCAAATATTTCCCAAGAAAAGTAATGGTTACACAGATTATGTTGGATGAACCTATTTAAACTCGACAAATTTTTTCTGAAAAAATATTGAATTTGAACAAAGAAAGACAAGAAATGAAGTGTTTCTGTTTCTGAATATAAGAATTGTCAGTGGGAATGTTTTTTTTTTGTTGAATATCATTATTGTTTATCGAGTTTGAATCCCCTATGGATTTTAACGTATCATGCTGAGAAGATAAAAAATGCTCCATACTCACACCCAGAATTGTCATTTTATTAACCATGTTATATAGCAATCAGAGAGTGACAGCGACATTGATTATTCACCGTTTGAGCACCACTACCGTCCCGCCAGTATGCCGAACCTTGACCTCAGTGAAGACGAGGGTAGCAGTGGCATTAGTAGCAATGACAACAGTCTCGACAACGTTATCAGGGGTAAGTGTCAAAGGTCAAAGGTGACTGAAAATATAACATTATTCTTGATAGTGTCATCTGTTATGAATGTCAAAGGTCAAAGTTAAGGTCAAATATACCAAAACTAAAAACAAAATCTTTTTCTTTCTTTGGGTAACAGTCAGATTATAGTCTTCAATATTTCTATTTCTGATTTGAAGCAGACGTTAGATACATTTTGGGGTATGAGCACCTTTACTTAGTCAAGAGTTTAGGCAAACAAAATTTGATTTTAAGTAATGATAGAGTGGATATTTATATATAACTTTTGTCTACATGTACCGAACAATTAAGTCTTCATAAAGTTGGTCAATAACATGCTAATTCCTATCAATATAAATTAACATTTCTTGATGAAAATGAAAGTTTTTTTTAAATTTTGATAGTTCTGGAACATATTTTTGATTGTTAAGTTTTTACCTGTACACTTGTGAAACATAGATGTATTGATGTCAAACTTTTTACCTGTAAAATGACACTAACTTTAGGTTTCCTGGTGAAAGAAATGGACCCATGGATGTCAATATCTTGTTTAGAATTGTATTGTGACTGTCAATGTTGATAAAATATCTTGATTTGTAACTTTTTTTTCATTATTAGCGCTGACGAAACAAAACAATCAACATCAGTCCTTAGGGCCATTATCTGTGAAAGTTAAACAAGATGGCGATCCTATTGCAGCCTCACTCCAAAAAATCAACACAGAGCTTGCTCAAATCATTACAAAGATAGGCACAAATAGTGCTCCAGTCACGCCACTGATAGGAACACAAGGTAAACATTTATATCATGTTTTTTAAGAACTGGTCCAAAATTAACAATGATATATAAATATATTTTGCTTGGTTGTGGGATATTATCATGTTTTTAAGATTTTGGTGTTAAAAAGGGTCAGCAGTCAGCGTAGCATTAATGAAATCATGATTTAATTAATTTTGTTCAAATTAAAATATCTGTTTTCTGTTTTATCATATGGTGTATTTGAGTACACTAAAAGAAGGATAAAGTTTCTGGAGTAATTTGTATCCATATTTCAACACCTGTAAAATTAATTTTTTTTAAATGTAGTAGCTGCCTTCATTATCGCCAGGATAACAAATTTTTCTAAACTTTTTAAATGAATTTACAATTTCAGGTTCAGGTGAAGGAAAAGCCTACAGTATACCTCTATACACTCCTCCATCACAGTCAACTGGTGTTTACAGCCCAGCGGTTGTACCCCACAGTCAGCCGATACAGGCCTGGGCTCCTCCAAACCCTTATATGTAAGTAGTGTACAATACAGGCCTGGGCTTCTCCAAACTCTTATATGTAAGTAGTCAGTGTACAATACAGACCAGGGCTCCTCCAAACCCTTATATGTAAGTAGTCAGTGTACAATACAGACCTGGGCTCCTCCGAACCCTTATATGTAAGTAGTCAGTGTACAATACAGACCAGGGCTCCTCCAAACCCTTATATGTAAGTAGTCAGTGTACAATACAGGCCTGGGCTCCTCCAAACCCTTATATGTAAGTAGTCAGTGTACAATACAGGTCAGGGCTCCTCCAAACTCTTATATGTAAGTAGTCAGTGTACAATACAGACCAGGGCTCCTCCAAACCCTTATATGTAGGTAGTCAGTGTACAATACAGACCTGGGCTCCTCCAAACCCTTATATGTAAGTAGTCAGTGTACAATACAGGTCAGGGCTCCTCCAAACCCTTATATGTAAGTAGTCAGTGTACAATACAGGCCTGGGCTCCTCCAAACTCTTATATGTAAGTAGTCAGTGTACAATACAGGCCTGGGCTCCTCCAAACCCTTATATGTAAGTAGTCAGTGTACAATACAGGCCTGGGCTCCTCCAAACCCTTATATGTAAGTAGTCAGTGTACAATACAGGTCAGGGCTCCTCCAAACCCTTATATGTAAGTAGTCAGTGTACAATACAGACCTGGGCTCCTCCAAACCCTTATATGTAAGTAGTCAGTGTACAATACAGACCAGGGCTCCTCCAAACCCTTATATGTAAGTAGTCAGTGTACAATACAGACCAGGGCTCCTCCAAACTCTTATATGTAAGTAGTCAGTGTACAATACAGACCTGGGCTACTCCAAACCCTTATATGTAGGTAGTCAGTGTACAATACAGACCAGGGCTCCTCCAAACCCTTATATGTAAGTAGTCAGTGTACAATACAGGCCTGGGCTCCTCCAAACCCTTATATGTAGGTGGTCAGTGTACAATACAGGCCTGGGCTCCTCCAAACCCTTATATGTAAGTAGTCAGTGTACAATACAGGCCTGGGCTCCTCCAAACCCTTATATGTAAGTAGTCAGTGTACAATACAGGTCAGGGCTCCTCCAAACCCTTATATGTAAGTAGTCAGTGTACAATACAGGTCAGGGCTCCTCCAAACCCTTATATGTAAGTAGTCAGTGTACAATACAGGCCAGGGCTCCTCCAAACCCTTATATGTAAGTAGTCAGTGTACAATACAGACCAGGGCTCCTCCAAACCCTTATATGTAAGTAGTCAGTGTACAATACAGACCAGGGCTCCTCCAAACCCTTATATGTAAGTAGTCAGTGTACAATACAGGTCAGGGCTCCTCCAAACCCTTATATGTAAGTAGTCAGTGTACAATACAGTGTACAATACAGGTCAGGGCTCCTCCAAACCCTTATATGTAAGTAGTCAGTGTACAATACAGACCTAGACTCCTCCAAACCCTTATATGTAAGTAGTCAGTGTACAATACAGACCAGGGCTCCTCCAAACCCTTATATGTAGGTAGTCAGTGTACAATACAGACCAGGGCTCCTCCAAACCCTTATATGTAAGTAGTCAGTGTACAATACAGACCAGGGCTCCTCCAAACTCTTATATGTAAGTAGTCAGTGTACAATACAGACCAGGGCTCCTCCAAACCCTTATATGTAAGTAGTCAGTGTACAATACAGGCCTGGGCTCCTCCAAACCCTTATATGTAGGTAGTCAGTGTACAATACAGGCCTGGGCTCCTCCAAACCCTTATATGTAGGTAGTCAGTGTACAATACAGGCCTGGGCTCCTCCAAACCCTTATATGTAAGTAGTCAGTGTACAATGCAGGTCAGGGCTCCTCCAAACCCTTATATGTAAGTAGTCAGTGTACAATGCAGGCCTGGGCTCCTCCAAACCCTTATATGTAAGTAGTCAGTGTACAATACAGGCCTGGGCTCCTCCAAACCCTTATATGTAAGTAGTCAGTGCACAATACAGACCAGGGCTCCTCCAAACTCTTATATGTAAGTAGTCAGTGTACAATACAGACCAGGGCTCCTCCAAACCCTTATATGTAAGTAGTCAGTGTACAATACAGACCAGGGCTCCTCCAAACCCTTATATGTAAGTAGTCAGTGTACAATACAGGCCTGGGCTCCTCCAAACCCTTATATGTAAGTAGTCAGTGTACAATACAGACCAGGGCTCCTCCAAACCCTTATATGTAAGTAGTCAGTGTACAATACAGTCCTGGGGCTCCTCCAAACCCTTATATGTAAGTAGTCAGTGTACAATACAGGCCTGGGCTCCTCCAAACCCTTATATGTAGGTAGTCAGTGTACAATACAGACCAGGGCTCCTCCAAACCCTTATATGTAAGTAGTCAGTGTACAATACAGACCAGGGCTCCTCCAAACTCTTATATGTAAGTAGTCAGTGTACAATACAGACCAGGGCTCCTCCAAACTCTTATATGTAAGTAGTGTACAATACAGACCAGGGCTCCTCCAAACTCTTATATGTAAGTAGTCAGTGTACAATACAGGCCTGGGCTCCTCCAAACCATTATATGTAAGTAGTCAGTGTACAATACAGGCCTGGGCTCCTCCAAACCCTTATATGTAGGTGGTCAGTGTACAATACAGGCCTGGGCTCCTCCAAACCCTTATATGTAAGTAGTCAGTGTACAATACAGGTCAGGGCTCCTCCAAACTCTTATATGTAAGTAGTCAGTGTACAATACAGACCAGGGCTCCTCCAAACCCTTATATGTAAGTAGTCAGTGTACAATACAGGTCAGGGCTCCTCCAAACCCTTATATGTAAGTAAGTAAGCAATTATCCTAGTAAACTTTATCACAGTGTATTTACATGCTTCTCCAATGTTTCCCATTACAACTGATGGTTTAGACTTTTACACATAGTTCCTGAGTTATTTAAATTTTCTTTTTATCTGTTATGTAAGATATGGTTAAATTGTGCAATTGTAACTAGAAAATTACTATTGAATGAAAAAATAGCAAGTGAAATAGTATTTCTTTTGTTGTTTTGTCATGAAGCTCTATAGGTTGATTTTTTACTCTCTGTTTTCACAGAAATAATCCTGCTCACCATGTGGACTATGCTTCCCTCGTCTTATCCGCCGAGCAGTCCTTGGAACGTAAATGGAGGAAATACTTTGGAGGTATAGATGTTATCTTGATATGTCCCCTACATAGTGAAGGGATACCTCTTACTGGTTCTTTCTCAAGTTTGGAAGTGCTAATTTGATTCTGATGAAAATCCCAGTCCAGATTTTACTGAAATATGCCACCAGGATAAAATAGTTTTGAATTGAAATTGTTTAGGCATTAGAACTAAATAGAAAATCTGTAACTGATCATGTATAAATACGCATTTTGTTACAGATCGACGACCTCCCCTTACCAGTGCTTCTTTGCCACCAGGTGGCGCTCCTGCTGCTTTTGGTCATACCACAGTCCGGTGAGTATAAAGTAAAACTTCACATCTGGAGAAGTGGTTTTACTCTTTAATCACCTCCTATCAAGATAAATGACGTTGGCATAGTTACCAGTAAACCCTGTACCCACAAAATTATGAAGGCATGCTGGAATGACCCTGTCTAGTCATCATTCTACAAAATAGTTCCTCCTGAGAAATGCTGAACAATTAACATATTTCCATTTTATGTGACAGCATTTTGTAACGTTTCACACTGCAACAGATTTGAATCAAAAATGTGATCTTTTTTGTGATGAATGTCATAGGTGTTTTTTTTTTTTTTTTAATCATTTTAGGGTTATGCTGTTCCTCTTTTATATCATTTGTTGGAGTGGGAAGGGGTTGGGGGGAGGGGGAATAAAAGTTACATATTGTTTATCAGGGGTAGTAATGATTACTCATTTCTGATGGGCTTTTTTTAGAAATAATTTGAGTTTTGCCACATTAAAAAGGAAAACAAAGGGTTTTTTTTTAAAAATAAGCCACCCTTCATGTTTAGAAGTTCAGACGAGTTTTCTAGGAGGTACGAATAAAACAGCATGAAAATTTTATATCAGGTCTGAAGATAAAGATAAAATCATGATTAATGTAAATTTTAAGTATGAACGTATTGTTTTGAAATACTTTCATGGTATGTGTGTATTGAAATGAAATTTCTGATGATATAAAATTGACTGACCAACAGGGACCAGCTTCGACAATACAGAATAACACTCCAGGAAAATTTGACAAGCAACCCAGCCAGTAGTCTCTCAACTCAAGATAAACTCTCAGAACAGAAAAGATGGCTTCAAAAGTTCGGCCAGGACATCAGCTTCGGAGCGTCTTTCGTCAAAGCTCCTGGATCTGATGCTGGATCTGTGTATCCTTAAAGTCAAAATCTTATGTTAAAGTCAAACTCAAATTCTGGAACTTGAAATTCTTCTTTTATTAAAATTGAATGAAAGAACTTTGGGTTGGATGTCCTCGTTAATCCATCCTTACTATTGGCACAGAATAATTTTGGTAAAGCAGTGTATTTTCCATTTTGGAAACCATATTTCTGTAATATTTTCAACTTTTTTTAAAAACCACATAAAGAAATTTATTTTTTGCAAAGCTGAGAGGAGGAAGACATTTTCATATTTGGGCAAATTGTATCTCGTAAGATCGTTTTTTTTTTCTCATTATTCCTTGCTGTAAAAAATAAGAGAATATAGTTATAGTATTCCTTGTTAAAGAATACAGCATGATGTTTTGAATTACTTAAATATTTATCATAATTTTAAAAAAAGATAACTGATGTTATTGATTTACGAAATCCGTCCATGAAAATGTAATATTGTTTGATTGTTTATATTGTAAGCTAACATTGCTGTACCAATAAAGCAATTCTGGGTTCGTTCTCGTATGGTCATCAAAAAGGAATCTCTTCATAACATTGAGTTTAAAAGTAATGTCTTAATGAGCGTGATTCTAGGACAAAACTGCAAATATTTTCATTGGATAATTTTATGTGTGAGATTTGTTGTTATTTGTTGTTGACTTGTTGATGTGTTTGCTACATGTAGGCACATTTTTTTATAAATTATGCAAAATGTTGGTTAATTAAATAAGAGTTCTCATGAAAGTAATTCAAGTTTATCTGTATTAAACGAACCCAGGTTTGTTGGTTTTAACAATTGGTTTCAAATTGAATGTGTTGTCACTAGAGCTTTAATTAATTGTAGTAATTATTAAAATGGCTTTAATCTGGCTAATATCTGATTGTGTTTAGACAGCTGACGTAATGAAATGGCTATAGGCTAACTAATTGATAGTGTTTTAACAGCTGATGTGGATGTTTATATGAGTGTCATATATATATACTTGTTGTTTTTAAAATTTAGTGCTACTTGCTAAAACAAATTCTTCGGCCTGCTTTACCCCTCAGAGCCATATAGACTCTCCTGTCTACTAACTTGGAACGGTTTATTGTGGTTTATAGGGGATAAAGATATATCAAGTGTGCTACGAAGCGAAATAGATTCATTTATTTAATATTTTTAAACACTTGTACAGCAGCTTAATTTAAAATTAATGTAATTTATTTATTTTACTTTAGTTTTAGTAATTCAACTTAAATGGCAAAAACTAAATGTTAAAAAAATGCAAGTTCATTGCTGTCACTTCTTGAATATGAAAGTCTAGAGATGTGTACTTAAAATTAGATTGCGTGCCCAAACGGGAAATGAACTTTTATCATGGTGACCACTTTCAAATGATTTCTTTTCGATAAGTTCAATAAAGTTACATGGATTGGATATTGGCTCACTTTCAAGATCACTGTGGTCAAATCTGTAAATAGTTTCTCAGCAACCAGGAGGCCTTTGACTGTTATAACGTATATAGAAATAACAGAATTCATCGAGTTATTGGGCTAGTGTATCTCTGAGTTATATTGAATTTTCCTCATTCGCCTCCCAGGCTTTAAAATGTTGTCCCCTATCATCTCTGAATATTCCTATCAGGACAAAACAGCAGTGTGATGTTTAATTCATCTTTTAGCTCTACAGTATCTAACACCAAAGTTGTATTAAAAGGTGCTATTCACTTGTGTGTCTTTTATGCAAACTTAGCAGGGAGCATGCTGCGATGAAGGGTTTCCAGGTAACGTCCTATGCGATGTACCTGGATATATTTAGTAAGGAAGGGATTGTAATGTATGGTATGAAAATGAAAGTCACAAAAATAAATTCCTCCAAGTAATTTGTCTCTGTTCAAGCTGTAGAACGTGTATGTTACAGGCTGTTTGGGCCACTTGTTTGCAGTGGAACCTCATTAGTCCACATGTGTTTGTGTTGAATGCCTGATACAGCTGGCGATTAGTTTGTAAACTTCAGAACTTGAAATCATAATGAAAATATATGACATGAAGATTATGGAAATCTTTTCACAGTATTTTATATGAAATCAGTTTCCACAGGCATGCACTGTTCAGTTTTGATGTTTTGTTTTCTGATTTCGATGAAATAACTTTGAATTCATTTGTAAAAGTGTGTAAATTATCTTTCTGATATCCAAAATTGACCCACTTATTTAATCAGTTACCAGCAAGCATGATACTTTATCACGAAATACAGCACATGTATAAATGTGATTCATGACATAACAAGGTTTCAAGTTGGACAATTCTTGGTTATAAATATGGCAACATAATTGTGATTACATATAACATGTCTATAGCAATAGTCTGGTTTACTTTGAGCTTTTAGTACAGTTGGATGTTGGAATATGTACATAAAACAAAAAGAAATGGATTGGATTTCTGCTGTTTATTGTAAGCCAGCAACTGGACTCTTCCTGCACCACTCACTATTTCCAGTTCCACATCTGTTACTTTTATATAGTGAAATTTTTATGTTTGATCACCTTTCATTTTCTTTTATTTATTCGTTTATATTTCAATTGTTTTTTTCTTTTTCATAATTGATTTCCTACTTGGAAACAGTGAAAGCTAATAAGTGAACTTTAAAGAAAAAGAAAAGTTTTACACGCATGATTGATTCCTTATTCACGAAAGAAACATTAAGAAAAAGCAAAGTTGAGAATTTTAATGTGAAAGAAAAGAAAATTTATACTTCACACATATGGTTAATGCCTACTTCACAAAGAAACTTTGTAAAGCATGCATTGTGATGATTAAAGATTAAATCAAAATGAAAAAAAAAAATTCCGGATTCACCAGCTAAAGTATACCTAAAGTGAAAGTGAAATGATACTTGGCATGAATACTGTACTAAAGTTTGCTTGGATTTTCCATTGTCTGTTATGTTAGCATGTCTGTAATGTATACACAACGGCTGGTGTACAGAGACAGTTTAATCTGTGATATCCACTTAATAGTTTCTGTTGAGGGTGTAGTTGCTAGGTGCTAGAATATAATCAAATATGCATATGGTTTATAGTGATCTTTATGGGAAACTTAATTTACTGTAAATTGGAATCATTCATTTTTCAGTTTTTAATTAGGGCCAGAGGAAAGAGACAGATATATTATTTATGTAATGAAATCATCTTGACTCCAATGCCAGAATCATGAACTTTTAATACTCCTGTTGTCTGCAGAATTCAAACCATAGCAGTCACAATGGATTTGCAAAGATATTGAGATTATATTCATGTTTTCGTCCATTTATTGATAGTGATAAGCAATTCCAAATTAAAGTTAGATTTGTTTTCACAAAAAAAAATTAACGATTCTTAACCTTATATTTTGCCTAAGATTTCTAAGCAGAACATTTCTTGACAGATATATTTATATGATATGAATGATTCCTGTTGAATTATTGATTACCAGGAAGGAAAATAAGTAAAAATATTCATCATAACAATAATATTTAGAGTGCACACCTTAAGTACTGTTTGTCTTGTAAAACCTGGTATGAATTTTTGATAGTTTTATGAAATCTAAGACAAGACAAAATTCACATGTTTACATAATCATCAAATACGAAAGCATCCATAATACTGAAAACACACATATAGTTTGCTGCTGCTGTTTGCTTTGGTTTGTTTGGAAAATACATTTTATTCTGTAGCTTTTCTCTCTCTTTCAGCAATTTATATCTGCTTTTAATTATAATGTTGATATTTAACAAGAAAGTAGAACCTTGTTATCCCCTATATTTGTACTTTTCAGCATTTTGGAACAATAATGATAAACAATTCATGAAGAACAATAGACCATTCATGAAGAACAATAGACAATTAATGAAGAACAAAAGACAATTAATGAAGAACTATAGACAATTCATGAAGAACAATAGACAATTAATGAAGAACAATAGACAATTCATGAAGAACAATAGACAATTAATGAAGAACAATAGACAATTCATGAAGAACAATAGACAATTCATGAAGAACAATAGACAATTCATGAAGAACAATAGACAATTAATGAAGACCAATAGACAATAAAGAAGAATAATAGATAATTCATGAAGAACAACAGACAATTAATGAAGACCAATAGACCATTGATGAAGAGCAAAAGACAATTCATGAAGAACAAAAGACAATAAAGAAGAACAATAGACCATTCATGAAGAACAATTAATGACAATTTCATGAAGAAAAAGACAATTCATGAAGAAAAATAAACTGAAGAACAACAGACAATTAATGAAGACCAATAGACCATTGATGAAGAACAATAGACAATTAATGAAGAACAAAAGACAATTCATCAAGAAAAATAGACTGAAAAACAATAGACAATTAATGAAAAACAAGACAATTCATGAAGAACAATAGACCATTCAAGAACAATAGACAATTCAAGAAGAACTATAGACCATTGATAAAGAACAATAGACAATTAATCAAGAACAATGGACAATTCATGAAGAACAATAGATAATTCATGACAAACAGATTTTGAAAATTTTCTTGAACCTTCTTTGTATTGTCAAGGTGTAGGATGAACAAGGCTCTACAGAATACTTACCTTACTTATCATTCTCTGCTTGTACTTTTTTTTACTGTAAACATACTAATTTTAGTGGTGATATAATTTTGTGGTAACCTGATTGTAGTGGTAGTCTTATTACAACATTAACCTCATTTTAGTGATAATTTGATCAGTCATTTAATCTTATTGCTAAGACGATTTTGAGGTAAACTTTTATTTTGCTGGTAAAGTTTTATCTTTGAAGTGTTTTAGTGTTGAATTGATTTTAGTGGAGAATCATTTTTAGGGATAATTTCATTTTACATGTGGTTGTGTGACTTGCAAATCTGATTTTTAGATGTAACTTGATATGATCTTCACAACAATTTGATTTATCTGATTTCATTTAGTTACTTGTTTTCAGGAGTCCCCTGATTTTAGTTTAAAAATGAAATTATTCAAAATATTCAAAATTTGTCTTTCACTAGCAGATGCTACTGCCAATGGCAACAAATAGTGTTTTCCGATCAGTATGTTTACAGTAGGTTTTTATTTTATATTCATTTCTTATTGTGACTGTTGCTCATATTTGATCAGTATTTAAAAATATATAATTTGTCTCTTAATTGTGATTATCTAACATCATTATCATACACATGCAGTTAAATTAGTTTCAATTTGTTTTTTTATTTATATTTGGAAACACAAAATTCTACGATGAATTTCAAAGTTTACTATGTTATAACAAAGTGTTCGTTTTATCAAACAATTACTTTTGAATTGATTTTCTATAGTATCCATTTCGTGATAGTTCACAAGCTATAAAATTCTTTTGTTTCAAGACCAATCAACATTTTATTCTCCTTGTGATACATGGAAGGTGATACTATACACAGGCATGCAAGATTATGCATTCATAAACCTACAAAGGAATAGGTGTAGTTTTTCATCAATGATTATTCCATTATGAACACAAATGTAACCCACATTGCACCCTGCACGTTTCAGTATCTAGCTGTCAAACCATAGCTTTGGTCACATGAGTAACAGTCACATTATGTCATTTCCTGTTTTTGTTTGACCTTGACCCTCATTCTCAGGAAGAGTTTTGGTGCTGGCTCAGTTTCAAGCTTAAGAATGGCTGACCCAACAATTTCATCGACACCTCAGCGATCTGTTCCCCCGGGCACTGCTCGGCTTGAACTGGATGAAAATGATGAGATCCGTGTCCGACATCTCAACTTCTAATATTTTTAATTTAGTGCCAAAAGGATTCCTACAAAAACTGCTCATCAACCAAAGTCGTCTTTGTTCTTAAAAAATAAAATACAAAATTATATCTATAATCAATTATTGTCGATGGGTACGATCTTTTTATATCAGGACCATTTGTATTAGTTTGTTCCTACTTGATATTTAAATCTCAGAGTAGTCAGTGTTTGCGGATGTCGTAAGACCTGTGTTAGTGAAAAAAGTTCAAAACTCAGAGCAGTCAATGTTTGCGGATGTCGTAAGACCTGTGTTAGTGAAAAAAGTTCAAAACTCAGAGCAGTCAATGTTTACTAATGTCGTAAGATCTGTGTTAGTGAAAAAAGTTCAAAACTCAGAGCAGTCAATGTTTACTAATGTCGTAAGATCTGTGTTAGTGAAAAAAGTTCAAAACTCAGAGCAGTCAATGTTTACTAATGTCGTAAGATCTGTGTTAGTGACGGAAGTTTAGATCTCAGAGCAGTCAATGTTTGCGGATGTCGTAAGACCTGTGTTAGTGAAAAAAGTTCAAAACTCAGAGTAGTCAATGTTTACTAATGTCGTAAGACTTTTTTTTGTTTGTGGCAAAATTTTTAACTCCGAGTAGTCAGTGTTTACTGATGTCATAATACCTGTGTTAATGACGAAAGTTAAAATCTTAGAGCAGTCAATGTTTACTGATGTCGTAAGACCTGAGTTAGTGACGGAAGTTAAAATCTCAGAGCAGTCAATGTTTACTAATGTCGTAAGACCTGTGTTAGTGACGGAAGTTAAAATCTTAGAGCAGTCAATGTTTACTAATGTCGTAAGATCTGTGTTAGTGACGGAAGTTTAGATCTCAGAGCAGTCAATGTTTGCGGATGTCGTAAGACATGTGTTAGTGACGGAAGTTTAAAACTCAGAGCAGTCAATGTTTGCGGATGTCGTAAGACCTGTTAGTGAAAAAAGTTCAAAACTCAGAGCAGTCAATGTTTACTAATGTCGTAAGACCTGTTAGTGACGGAAGTTTAGATCTCAGAGTAGTCAATGTTTGCGGATGTCGTAAGACCTGTTAGTGACGGAAGTTAAGATCTCAGAGTAGTCAGTGTTTGCGGATGTCGTAAGACCTGTGTTAGTGACGGAAGTTTAGATCTCAGAGTAGTCGGTGTTTGCGGATGTCGTAAGACCGGAGTTAGTGACAACAAAATTAATCTCAGCTGTCATTTTTTTATTTCGTATGTAGTAGTTAGCAGCAAAAGGTATTAAGTGCTGCAATGTCACTAGCGATTCATTGAAAATTTCATAGAGCGGGAATGTTAGGGGAAGTGTGAGAGAGTAAGTAATCAGCATTAATACAACAGGTGCTGTGTAAATTGTTTCTGTATTTTTCATCAATTAAATAGGCATGCTGTTACAATTGTAACCCACATACAGGGTTGTCTAGTTGCTGTTGAGAACAAATCAACTTTTTAAAAGGTTAAATTTTGATAAAATTCTCATAATGATTACACATTTCCTTGCATTTAGAAACAGAAATGTGTAGTTAAAGATTATGTACATGGAGGTTTATTTAAATCAACAGTGATGGACAAATTTTCTGTACAAGATGGCACTCGTGTATTCTGTACTGTGGTTTGAAGTTGAGAGCATTTGTGAATATCGGATACATTTGTAGGTAATCGTAAATCATAAATAGTCAGATAGAGCTGTATAGGAAATATCATGTGATTGAAAGTTTCCTAGTAGTCTACTTGGACCGGTCTATAACATAGCATTCATTCTTTTGAAAATTTCGCAAGAATTAATTGTAATTAATGTGTTTAGGAATGATAGAGTTCACTGTTGTTAGAATAGCTTATTATTTAAGAAACAAGTTCCCTTAATGGTTGTGTGTATAACTAGTGTTAAAATCATTTAGCCAAATGTATATAGATTTGAAATTCTGTTCCTCATTTTGTAAATATTCATGATGATTTTTTATTTCCTTGTCCAAGACATCGGTTTTATTTCTTTTCGTTTGATACTCAGAAAGCCTTTTAGCTGTGATATTGATCCAGGTGTATACGCTAAGCTCATAAAGAACGACAAAACTTAGCAGTTGATCCCTCAATTACGGCTTGAACACACTTGCCTATCAGTTTCAGCTGGAAAGCATAGTATGGTGATTTAAAACATGACACACTTCTTAATTGGAAAGAATAAGTAGATAGTTGAATTTTTGTGTAAGACCTCTGTCTGTCTATGATAAACTTGAAATGTTTTCATCTTGAGGGGTATTTTTTTACATAAATTCCTGATTATTTGAAGTGCTTTCACATTTGTTTAAATGAAAACCCGTTATACATCAAATGAAGTGAAATTCAACGCTTCTGAAGAACTAGGATGCCTGGAGGTATATTTTTCTATTTTGCCTTCTTCAGTATGGTGTTTAAGTCTGGGCTCCACTTGTAATCAAGTTGTTTTTCATTTAGACCATTGATAATTCTTCAAGGTCGTAATATGTGAACATAATATAGGGTGAACTAGTTTGTTCCGCTGTAATATTTTGACACGAGTCACTGAGAATATGACATTGATTTTGAATTAGTCATGAGCTCATTTGTACATAACTCACATTAATTCTACCACTGTCGAGATATATGATAAAATAAGTGTTAAACAACTTCTATAATTATTTCTAATGCAGCTAGGTTCTACTACAACGATTTGCAGGAAAAATAGGAGGATTATGTGGAGTCGGAATTGAAATAAATATTTCATTGCAATATTCCTTGTGATTGTACATACCACGCTTTATACATTTAATTGGTTTTCAGGTTTTGCAGTTACGAGTGATCTGAAAGTATATGTATTTTTTTGTCTATTTGTAAAATACATTTTTACTTTAACTGTTATAAAAACAAAAAAAAACCAGAAATTCTGAAATGCTTTCTCTACCTCATTGTTGGATTCCATCTGATGAAGATGATTAAAATAATTGTATTGGAAGTTGTAGTCGAACTACAGTTTCTTTATCTGTACTAGTCGGACTATACGGCTTATGACGAAAATATCGCTATCTACTTTCTTCACTAATATTTATGAAATAAAAGATAAGTACCAAATAGATGGCTTTTCAGATCTGTTTTATGTCTGATTGAAATATTTTAGGGAAGTTTTATTTCTGTATGTTACGTTGTATAAATTATAAACACAATAACACTATTGATAAAAACATATCTGTTAAGATTAGTTATGTTCATTTTGGCCATTATATTTTACCAAATATCGAAACTTTAACAACTTTACGATAAAAACCTGCAATATCACGATATTTATCAGATTAAACATGGGTCAGTACACTAGTAAACGAAATTTTAATGTATTGTAAGGTATTTTTTCTTGTCTAAAATATGAGATATAAATGTGACCTTATGTATATCTTCAAGACACCTTGTCTTTTCTTTTGCTATTTAACGGAATAAAAATCAGCACGACGGTTCGGAATAAATAAAAAACAGTTTCAATTAAATGAATACCTCTGATAATCATTTTTTTTTTTTTTTTTTTTTTGTTTTTTGTTTGTTTTGTTTTTTGTATTTTTTTTTCATGTGCTAGTCTTCATATGAATATTTGCCGGTTCATTTTATTATAGTTTCATTTCCTCAAATATCAAAGGTCAGCTTTCTGTACTCAAAATTATATGTGTAAACTATGCAATATCATCATATACTTTGTAAAAATATCAATAAAATGTATATTTGTAGAAAGGAGATGTTTGTTTATTGTTTATTTTGATAGAGTGATGTATAATGTTGTTGTGTTGATCTGGGAGATGTAATTATCATTAATATTGTCTTCTATTTGAACATCGTAGTAAACCTGATTGGTGCTAAAGGTTATTTTCGCGTGCTACAATTTCAGTCTAAGCAAAGGTGCTAGGTTGCATACGATCCGTTCCAAATCAATGATTTCGTTTTCACACCTGATCAGATTCTGGTTTTCATACGATTGTGAGAAATTTTGTCTTGTTTTATATATACATGCATATATTGTGTACTATTGTGTTTGTTTCCATTAAACAAACACTGAAACAAATCTTGAATCATTCCTGTAGTAAAACACTGTGTCACTGCCATTTTAATCAGATAATCCTGCTTTTATTACACAATCGCCGAATTGATCCGTCATATCGAACCACATTGTACTCACAAGCGTAAAAAAGCAAAAAAGGGACCATAGTTTCGTGTTTAATATTGTAAAAACAAGTTTAACAATGTGTTTGATAAGAAGCCATCACTTTCCAAAAAATCAATATCCTTGATTATGAAAAAGGACCTTTTCAGCTGAATATCTCTCATATCTAGTGATGGTTCGGTGCTAGTTTTGAATATTTTATATGTGCAAAGTTGTCATTGGCTCAAAAGTGAAAATTAGCAGGTACCACTTGACTGAACGAAGTAAACAAATATGAATTAATAACTAAATATTGTGTGTTATATAAGATTAACGTGAAACCTTATAATATTTGTGGATTGAGAAGATGAGTTAATGAGGTAATGGACAAAACAACTCCCAACATAACATCCTCTAACTTCTAGGGGTTACCAAAACTTCTAGTGGTTATCACTTACAACATCCTCTAACTTCTAGGGGTTACCAAAACTTCTAGTGGTTATCATCACTTACAACATCCTCAAACTTCTAGGGGTTACCATCACTTACAACATCCTCTAACTTCTAGGGGTTACCATCACTTACAACATCCTCTAACTTCTAGGGGTTACCATCACTTACAACATCCTCTAACTTCTAGGGGTTACCAAAACTTCTAGTGGTTATCATCACTTACAACATCCTCAAACTTCTAGTGGTTATCATCACTTACAACATCCTCAAACTTCTAGGGGTTATCATCACTTACAACATCCTCTAACTTCTAGGGGTTACCATCACTTACAACATCCTCTAACTTCTAGGGGTTACCAAAACTTCTAGTGGTTATCATCACTTACAACATCCTCTAACTTCTAGGGGTTACCATCACTTACAACATCCTCTAACTTCTAGGGGTTACCATCACTTACAATATCCTCTAACTACTAGGGGTCACCATAACTTACAACATCCTCTAACTTCTAGGGGTAACCTTAACTTACAACATCCTCTAACTACTAGGGGTAACCTTAACTTACAACATCCTCTAACTTCTAGGGGTTACCATCACTTACAACATCCTCTAACTTCTAGGGGTAACCTTAACTTACATCCTCTAACTTCTAGGGGTTACCATCACTTACAACATCCTCTAACTTCTAGGGGTTACCATCACTTACAACATCCTCTAACTTCTAGGGGTTACCATCACTTATAACATCCTCTAACTTCTAGGGGTTACCATCACTTACAATATCCTCTAACTTCTAGGGGTCACCATAACTTACAATATCCTCTAACTACTAGGGGTAACTATCACTTACAACATCCTCTAACTACTAGGGGTTACCATAACTTATAACATTATCTAACTGCTAGGAGTTACCATCACTTATTACATCCTCCAACTTCTAGGGGTTACTATAACTTACAACACACTCGAACTTCTAGAGGTAACCATAACTTCTAGGGGTTACCATAACTTCTAGGAGTTACCATCACTTACAACATCCTCTTATTTCTAGGGGTTACCATCACTTACAACATCCTCTATCTTCGAGGGGTTACCATCCCTTATAACATCAATCAACTTTTAGGGGTTACCATATCTTATAACATCCTCTAACTTCTAGGGGTTACCATCACTTATAACATCCTCTAACTTCTAGGGGTAACCATATCTTTGATTTAAACATATTTTATTTGTACAAAGTATACAAGCAGGATTGGGCACAAGTTTTCTAACTTATATAAAGCCCTTTCCTATAAAATTTTACATAATACATATTAGCAAGACAAGACGACATGTTTAAATACAATTATAATATACAGAGAGAGAGAGAGAGAGAGAGAGAGAGAGAGAGAGAGAGAGAGAGAGTTTAAATAACTTCATGTAGAGCGGTCTCTCCTGATACAAACAACACAAGTAAAAATACAAAACGCTTTTCATAACTTTCAAACTTTTCTACAGTTCATCACATCCCGTGCGAATATCGCTTTCTCCTGGCATCCGGGTCCTTCATAAAAAAAAAACCTCACACCTTGTGTCGGAGCAAGGAGTGACCAAATATTTTTACATTTATCACAGAAGGAGATAGAGGGAGGTAGATAGACAGATAAAGATCAAAATCTGTTTGAATTAAGTATATATTGCTGAGTGATTTGACATATTTTTACATTATCTTCATATGAGTAGATAATACTACCATGTAGGAGTAACTGCAGGTCTAGAGGGATAAAATTATTTAGTTCTCGGTACAGAATGGCTCTCTGGTCCGAATAAATATTACAAACAAAAAAATAGTGGTAAGTATCTTCAACAGGGTGTCCACATTGACAGAAACGATGATCTATTAGATTGGATCTGAAAAGATCATTATTTAAGGTACTGGATTTATTTCTTAACCTAGCGTGTAGTATATTAGCCTTACGACTACCAAGCAAATAATAATATGGAACTAGTGTAGTGGGTCGAAGAGAATGTTTAAAGATAGAGTAAGAAACACTTTGTCTAAGTTCAAGTTCAAGTTGGTTCCAAAGTCGGATAGTGGTTGGAAAGAAAGATAAGTTTGTTAGTTGTAGTCTGAAATTTAGTAAAGAATAATTTTGTGCATTACGGAGGTTATATTGTGAATTTTCAGATACTAAAGGGGGCAATAGAGTAGACAGATAATTTGGAGTGAGATTATTAACTATTTTGTAGAAAAGCTGTAGTTTTCTTCTAGTGCGTCTTTCTGATAATGGTTCTAGACCACTCTCAGAATACAGTGATTCTCTACTGGTATAAGAGGGTAAACCAGTGATAATTCTGATAGATTCTAACTGAAGTTTTTCAAGTTTGTCTGCATCACTGAGAGAACACCCATCCCAAACTTCACAACAGTATTCTAATAATGGAAGTATATAAGCCTTATAGATTTTGACTAAAGTTTGTCTATTTAACATGTATTTTAATTTACGTAGGATACTTACCTGTTTAGATACATCTTTACAAATGTTTTCTATATGTTTACCCCATTTACAATTCTCATCTAAAGTTACACCTAGATGTTTATGATGTTCAACAAAATCGACACTCACATTATTAAATTTAATATCTATGACATGATCATGCTCTATGTTTGAAATAAGTAAGGCTTCCGTTTTTAGGGGATTAAATTTTACAAGCCACTTTTCTGCCCAATGTTGAATTTTAGCTAGGTCGTTATTAATTTTGGTTTCAATGTCCAAAAGGGAAGTACCGGAACATAATAATGAAGTATCATCGGCAAACAGTTTAGAAAGACTTTCAAGGTTATCAGCTATATCATTTATATACAAAATAAAGAGTAAGGGGCCTAATACTGAACCTTTTGGAACACCTGAACTTGTAGATTTAACGGAAGACTTACTATTTCCTACACAAACTTGCTGTTTTCTGTTACTGACATAGTTGTTCAGCCAAACTAAAAGTTTTCCACATATACCATGATTTTCTAATTTCACATTCAGTCCCTTGTGCCATACCCTGTCGAACGCCTTAGAAATATCACAAAAAACTAAACATGTTGACTCAAAATTTTCCATATTTTCACATAATGTATGATAAATTTCAATAATTTGATGAACAGTAGAATGAACAGGCTGGAAACCTGACTGGTATTTAAAAATCAAAGAATTATCAAGTAAAAAGTTATTTAGATATTTTACAACCAAACGTTCAAAAACTTTGCCAAAAGTACTGAGAAGAGCTATTGGTCTATAATTAGAAGACTCATTTTTATTCCCTTTTTTGTATAATGGCATAATTAAAGCTAGTTTCCATTGTGACGGAAAGATACCAGTATCCAAGGAAGATCTAAAAATTAGAGATAATGGATATGCTATCGCCTCTGCAGTATTTTTTAACATAATGTGACTTATTGTATCACTGCCAACAGCTTTATTAACATGTAAAGATTTTAGAATGTCAGTAATGTCGTCTAATTGAAATGGTATATCTGATAGAGTAGCGTCCGTCCGTAGCTCTATTTCTGGTATGTCAACGTCAGTATCGTCAATGGTAGAAATGGAAACAAAGTAATCATTTAGAATATTGGCTTTACCTTCATCTGTCATTTCAAGATTTCCAAAATTGCTAATAAGGGGAGGTATGTTATTTGTTGAGTCAGATGTTTTTAGAAGTCTGCGGACAATTTTCCAAAAATTTCTGGGGTTCGAGTCAGAATAACGATCTAAAATACCATTTATGTCCGCATAGAAATTTTCTTTAGTACGTTTCTTTAAATTATTAACATGATTACGTTGTTTCCGGAAGTTAGTCAGATTGCCTGGAGTGCGGTTAGTTTTAAATTTTTTTAGTAGTCTGTTTCTTTTCCTAATTTCACGTCGTAATTCCGAATTG